ACACGCTTCAATTGCAGCTAATGCTGTGAGGCAGAGAGACCGAGATATGGAGAGAGAGAAAAAAAGGGAGGAAGAGATGCAGCGAAGGACAGCGAGTGAGATAAATATCAGTGGCCCTCGGTGTAGATGTATAGATAGAAAGCTTGGAGTACACAGCAGCATCAGGGCAAACACACACGATTGTTCTTCAAGTCACTCGGTTCCAGAGGCAGTGGTTTTAATAGAGGAGTCTTTAATTTAGTCTTTGCCTCCCTTCCTCTTTCTGCCTCACTCCCTTCCACCTCCCTCACATTTTCTCAACCCCATCTCTTTTCAGTAACGAGAGGATTAGCGGGAGACGAGCCTATGTCAGCTGAGGATGCGGGGAGAGTGGGAGGCACAGAGGATGCGGGGAGGTGAAGAGGAGAGGAGGGTGAATGAAAGGCGGTATCGAACGCTGACCTGTTTTGGGCTGATAAGCGCAGGCTGCTTTGTGCTGAAGCCACTGGCTTTAATTTGGGGGCCGCAACATTTGGAATTAATTATCACACACACTCCAGCACAGCCGCGGCTTACTGTGTACATGGCTATTACATCCACTCCAATACAAACTGTATACAGCCTATGTGTGCTGGAACTCACTGTTACACAGGAGTTTGTATTGCTGTTTGGATGAAGTTACATAAAATACAGCCACAACCACAATGTTAGCATACGGTTAACAAAGAGGAAGAATGTGGGGTACGGAAAACAGGAAGCTGTGCTTTTTCAACACAAATATCAGGAACAGCAAGCACAATGCATAAGCTACACGTTGAAAACTATAACTAGAGAAATGTATTGCACTAAATATAAATCTTCCACATTGGAGTGCGAGGTATAAAGAAAGTCCTAAGCAATTAGGAGAGAATTAATTATTTATATATCTGACAGAACTGTATATTGATTCTTAATGTTTAGTTAGGTTGGCTGTTAATCCGCTAGTTAATTAGCTAAAGCTTTCTATAAATTCATCAACCTTAACAGGGACAGTTATTTGCTCAATACATTGACAATGAGACACAAACTACTCCTCAACAAGAATGTGAATAAGCAGATTTTTCCTAAATGTCTTGATTAGAAAACAACATTACAATACAACACAAGGCTGAACCATGACCCAACATGTAGAGCATATTCAGATTCCTGCCTGTGTTAAAAAAAACATATAGCCTACTGTATAGGAAGTGGATACTGTCCCTTAGACATCAGCAGTTTGTTAGACAATCATTTTGAAGCTTAAATTGCACAAGTCGCTTTTTGGAGCCAGCTGGGACCATATTTTGAGTTGAACTGATGAAAAATAGGCCAGGCACCATTAGCGTAACATATGCTAGCTTACCAGCTAACTCTTTTGCTTGCTTAGCATGTTGCATTTGTAATTCATGTTAACCACGATATTAATCGGTATGGTATCGGTTGGTTTAACTGAAGAGCCGACTCCATAGAGGCCTTTTACTCAAACAGAACCCTTAAATAAAGCGGAACTTAAAAGCGGCAACACCTTACTGAAGGCATAACTTTAAGCCTTAATTGAATTCAAACTGTCGACTTCATAAAACCCCCATATTTTGGCACTTGTGTGTGTTGTATTATATTTCAAAACAACATGTTAACACTTGGGTAAAAGGCAAATGCCTGCTTTGGCGGTTTATGGGAGAATAAGAAATCATAAATAACAAAGCGTTACAAAACGTGTGTTGTAGACCAGGGGTTCCCGACCTTTTTCCCCGAGAGCCCCCCCAAATTACTCCTGTTGGAAGTTACCCCCCCCCAACAGACAGACAAGGCAACAGCGGTAATGCTGCAACTACTGTCACAAACTCATGAATGTGAAGTATTTTGTTAAAGGAGGGTGAAAGCGTAATTAAGGAGCACTATTGGAGTGACTTTGATGGTTATTGGACTCAGGATGAATTCATTTGGATTCCCGCTGTATGAAGAAATGAAAGGACGGCACAAGTGAAAACAATTCACAAAGGGATTAAACTGTTTAAAACACATGCTCAAAGTAAGCCGGATTTTGCCGATGTGTTTATGTGGATTCAAAAGTCGTAAATAATCTACAAAATGGAGGAGAGCGATCTGATCGGAGCAACTGTGACAAATAATTCAACTGAAACCGGTATGGACAATGACTGTTTTAAAAATGCGCTTATCCAGAAAAGCCTGGTTTGGACACTTAATACGCAAAAGAAACATTTATATCAAAGAAAAAATTATACATTTCTGTCTTTTTATGCCTTTATTATCTACCAACTTGAATTTTTATTAAAATTAATTAATCAATTATTTGGTATACTTTATTGTAATGTAGAGATAAGGCTTTTAGCGACAATCATGTATTGTGTAACTATTATGTGTTAAAAAAAAAAGTCTAAATATGATATTAGACCTCAAATCATCTGAGCCCTGGCGCACCCCCTGCGATTTTTGGCGCAGGTTGGGCACCACTGTTGTAGACAATCAAAGCCAAGTATCCTATTATTTCTAAACTAGATGTCACAAATGCCTCTACAATCCTCCAGTGTAAATAACTTAAAGGTCATCTCAACACGTTTGCCGACTTTCATTAAAGTTAAATCTCGCTGGCATATTTTTCATTTCCAATCAATGTGAACCTCACTAGCTTTCCCCAGTCCTTTGATCACGGACCGAAGCATTCCCTGCGGAAGATTGGTGTGTTGTGGACGCCGTTTTCAATCGTTAGTTTCTGTAAATACTTGCAAACATTACACCGCGGATAGTAAATGGTGCAATATCCAGCAACCCCTCTTAAAGGTAGATGTGCAGCTAGTTATACAGTAGCAGCGACTACAGCTTTCGAGGCGGAGTGGCTCAGCAGGGCTGTGTGTATGTAGGCCGTGTTCTGCATGTTATTTCCTTGAAGTCATCAGACCTACGCTACCCCATCAAGGCAGGGCTCTTATGATAAGTGGCAGCCATGAAATATGCACAGCCATGTCGTAGTGGCCTGCCCCGCTTGGCTTCCTCGTCTCCACTGCCCATTCTTACTACCTCTTCTTCTCTCCTGTCGTTTCACCTTCCTCTTCTATTCTATTTTCTCTTTACCTCCTTTCCTTCATTCACCACAGCCAATTCACATCATCTAAACACAAAAATAACAGCAAACATCCTCTAAGACATATTTTAAATCCTTTATTTTGTGTATGCCTGTCTATGTTGGTTAACAAACAAACAAAATAATTTTGGCACATGGAAAGCATTTTGAGAAACATTTTTCTTTCTTTTTTTTCTTGAGGTGTATTATTATCCCATATAGCACACGCAACAGTAGCTTTGATCCCACCTTGAAGCAATGCGCACACAGAAAACATGAATCACCCTAATATGCTAAATGTATATAAATCCTAACTAATAAACAAAAGCCATTTTCATGCAGTCCATTTTACTTCACAGTAAAGAGTCGTAGATGCAAAAAGAGAACTTCTCCTCTCGTCTTTTACAATACTCACCACATGGTGTAGATATCAACATTTGACACAGTTTTTATATGCTTATGTTTAAGTATATATATATAGGTATTTGTTGTCATAATACAGGAGACACTGACTGTAATACATACCAATGAAGGTAAAACGCAGATAATGGAAGTCATAAAAACACATTCACTTTCAGACTCTTTGAAAATGCTAAAGCTGCTCTTCTGTGCTGAACTCATCAGCAGTAAAGTTTAAGACTAAGATAACAGACACGACCAACTTTATCCAGATGTTAGTACCTAAATCAGTGACTTCCCAGTTAACCCAATCACGTCAAATAATTCCACAGAAAAAGCTCTGAACGCCATCAAAAAGCAGTTTCCCATCTGAAACCAGGCCGTAGCTCCCTCAGCTTTCTGCTAACCCTTTATCATCTGGCCCACATATTGTCTTTTATTAACAATGTTGCATGATATTCTCTACATGTGGAAACCTAAGAGACTCCCACTTCTGCTAGCATGACAGATAACTGTTTTTTTTCAAGTGAATTAACTGCATGATACTGCAGCGTAATCGTAGATACTGTAAAATGTCATGCCAGTAGTACTGATAATAACCAACAGTAAACCTGCAGAAAAAACTCACCTGATGTCCTGAGGAGTGTGACGTGAGGAAGCACTTCAGCCACTTCCACACTATGTTAGCTGCACTGAAGTGTCTCAGCTGCCTTTCTCTCTGGCCGCGTAAATAAACCCACCAATAAGCCTCATAACCTCACAGCCTTTTGCATGTGAATGAATTAAAGTCCTAACCGGAGCCTTCTGAAGGTTGGTTCATTACTGATTCTGCCTTCCTGTCAACACGATTATTGCTAGCTAGGGAACACACACACACACACACACACACACACACACACACACACACACACACACACACACACACACACACACACACACACACACACAACACACACACACACACACACACACACACACACACACACACACACACACACACACACACACACACACACACACACACACACACACCACACACACACACACACACACACACACACACACACACACACACACAGAAGGCCTAGCTTTAACCTGTGTCCTCGTTTTCTGCTGCTGTAGTTAGGATGGAAATTGTGCATGCAGAGGGCTACTTGAAACACACCAATCACAGTGAGGCCTTATACCACCAAAAAACTAGATCAGAGGTCAAGCTGCATGGTTGTTGGTCCGCTGTTAGAAATATAGCTAGTGGCCTTATTTTTGACGCAGACCAGACACCCTTTCCAGGCCTACTGTTTTGAGATGTCAGGTACTCAACCTGCATTTGAAAAAAGCAGAATCTGGGTTGAATTTGATTTCCAGGCCATCGAAAACATCTCTAGTACTGAAGTGCTGCTTTCCAGGAATTATGAAGGTGTAATTTGCAGTACTGGACGTAACTGTGTTCAAACACAGGCATACTCATTTGTACACAGCTTGCTTTAAAGAGGACATATCATTCTCCTTTCCACGTCCATAATTGTATTGTGTGCCTCTACTGAGACATGTTTACATGCTTTAATGTTCAAAAAGTGCTTTTTCTCTTCGGCCACTTGTGGAGCCACTGGTTGGAAGTCAAGTGGATATTCACCATAAATACAAATGTTAACGCAAGGCCAGGCAAGGCATGCATTGACACACGTACAAAAATGCTTTACCGTGCGTTTCCATACACAGTTCTCATTCACACACATATGAAACATTCATGTGCACACACTGCTGTAAACAAACGCCCGGGTATCTGAATCATGCTTTTGAACAAACACAAAGAATCTATCTGCTAGTCTCTTTCGTTGCTTATATACTAGTTAACAGAAAAGGAGAGTATACAAAGTAGTATTATCTATTCGACGGACTCAAAGCCTATAGGACTACATTTCCCAACAGCATTTTCCCAACATGATCCCAGTGCTGCAACAACAAAGAGGACACATAGAACATCCGATATATGTGGTCTTTTTTGGCACAAATCTTCCACTTTGGGTAAAACCATACACCAAATATCTTTCTTGAATATGCATTTTGAAAACCATGAAAAACAGCCACACATGGCAGCAGAGTGGTGCAGACATAAGATGTTAAAATGCTGCTGGGAGACAAAGACCGGGGCTGTTATTGATATAGAAACTCATGCACAAGTATGTGAAGCATTCCAGTTTTAGCTAAGATAAAGATAAATGTACATACGCTGTTATTATTACACATTGAATAATAAGCACATCAGAAGTACAGGCCCAACTCTGATTGAACTGGAATGAGTAAAAGAAAAGTTAAATCACAATTTCCACAAAAAAAAAGTAATAAAAATGAAATGCTGAAGCTATGTTACATGTGAATGGTGTATGCTGTGAGTATCATGAATGATCTGTATAAGGTTTCAATTATCTGCAGTTTTAACAATGCAGAAACACATTTTAAGACTAATTTTAACGTAAAATGTCGAATTTTAGGAAATTTGTAGGGGCACCATTCATTTTCTAATCCTTAGTCTGATCCTGGTAAATGATTGTCCTTTGTCCACACTGTGAGCCACAAGTTGATCACCAAGCTTTAGCTGAGTAAAACATCAATGTTTCTCAAAAACTAAGCTTTGAGAAAGTCAACGGCTCATATTTAGCCAAAAGATTACATTTTGACCACTTCGAAGCATCTACATTTCTCAGTTTTAATGATAGTTGTGACACTGCACTAGAGTGATAATGCACCTAGGCCATTTCCAGAAGAGGCCAACACATCGTCCCGGTTGCAGCGGTATGAAGTCTACATCTTTTTGTGTATTTTATGTATGTTTAAGTCATGGCTTCTTGCTTCCTGTCACAGCACACATCATTCCCAGGATTTTTAAGTTGATAAATATTTGTGTGTGTGTGTGTTTGTGTTCCAGGGTATACAGGTTGGATACTGGGGGAAATGATTGTGGATCTATTTGTGTGTGTGCATGTGTCCATGTGTGCATGAGCTGAAGTCAAGCCTGCTCGGCGGCAGGTGAAGCAACGTCAGCTCCGGGGAACTCGGGGTTGATAAAGGAGAATCCCTGGAACTCGTCCTGGTCCAGGTTCTCAATCACTTCCTCATCGGGAGGGGTCAGCACCGGCGGGTGGCGCGTGAAAAAACGATCAAAGTTCTCGGCATCCCGGCCACACTGTTGAGGAGGGTGGGGGGGGGATGGAGTACAAGGGGGGGGGGGGGGGGAGGAGTGGGGATGGAGAGGAATGGATGCATTAGGGTGGGAGGGAGAAGGGGAGGAAAACAAAAGAAGGGGAATGGTGGGTTGAACCAGGGTGTGAGATGACATTACTTGAACATGGTTTCAAATATCATAAAAAGGTGCGAGTACTAGGGGTGAGCTTGATTTAACTCTCCATGTGGGTTGGCTAAGAGCTGATACACTGTCAGGAGAATAAATCAAGCACACCTCAGGCATATGACTCCCTTTGTGGAGATATTTGTAACATATTCAACTCCAATTTCAAACCGAACGGGGTCATTGAAGTCTCAAGCGTCCCGTGGAAGTGCACTACATTGGACAGTTTAACGCATGGAGCTTTAACTGTTTAGCAATTAATTAAAAAAAGGCATCCCACCATGGCTGTAAGTAAATAACCCCCCCAAATAAATTACTCGGTATTGCATTTCCGTTTTTACTTGGATTTAATTGGAATTTCTAACCAGTCCTGCAGGATACGGCTCAAAGCCATGACACGACTAGGCTGTAATTGTGGGTTAATTATTAGCAGCAGCTGTGGAGACCTGCTGAGATATGATAAACCCTATCAGACAACCAGTATGCTAAATACAACTGGGAATAACCAGGAATATATTCAGATATTTGATCACAATTGGAGAATGTATTTAATTGACTCAAGATATATTCTTTATAAGAGGTTTTTATCATTGGGATTTAAGGTATTTTTTTGCCTTTATTACCGATATAGTGTTGAAGGGGGAAATGGAGGGGATGACGTTGCCTGAAGTTTTCCGCAGTCGGAAATTGAATCTGCGTACTTGGCAGCGGACTCTGCATATGGGCCTGTGTCTCTAACCTTTGAGCTATCGGACCCCTATGTTGTACATTTATTATTTATTTTTCATTTATAAAGCCAACATCTATCGCATGTCTGTTTGTCCCGGGAGAAGGATTCTCCTTGGTTGCTTTCCCTGAGGTTTCTTCACATTTCCCCATTGATCTTGTTATTAAAAGTGATTATTTTTTGTTTCTATGGGAGTTTTTTCTTGTCCATTGATTAAAAGTGTTGTTTGAAGCATTTAAAACACAAGGTCAACTCTCACTATCCAAATCAAACTCCTGGCTAACAAAAGGCAAAATGAAATCATCTCAAAGAGTTATATATTGTGCAACTCACATTACGTAGAATTTGTTTTCTCGAGGAGCAATTTGGAAAAAAGTGTCATTGTTAATTTCAGTGCATTTCATTTCCTCTTTCTGACCACTGGGAATCCAAAAAGAGCTGATATACCCGCGAGATGTGCGTCCGTCTAAGTACATAAAACAAGTTATTAACTTGAAAACTATATTTTCCCGACAGTCTGTCTCATGGGGACTTCAGGCCGAGCTATTCACTGCGCGGAGCTTTAATTAACACAACAAGGATTCAGTGTCCTCTGACAACATTACCCAGAGGAAAACTACAAACTCATTAAATCTCCAAAAACCAAATGGAATCAACCCACACTGTTTATAGTTTGGGGAAATATGTGGAATGAGAAATACACCAGGGTCAAATTGTATTTGCAGCCAATTACTTGCGTCGGTTTCCACCTGTTTGGCAACGCAGATGGGAAAGATCTGCCACGTAGGAAATGAAATAAGTGTCACGAAGTTTATGAGTATAACGTCACGACACAACACCTTCGCCAAGATATTTCAATTGATGTGGTAAGCATCGCCCAAATCCTTCTCTAGTGAAAGTTTAAATACTTTTTTTTCATCAGGGATGAGAAGGGGCTTTGGATTTTGTGGTGGAAGAAGTTATCAGCTTCTTTGCTTGAGTCAAAGTACTAATACAACACTGTAAAAATACTCCATTACAAGTAACAGTACTGTACAGACAATGGTTTCTATAGTAACAGCATTAAAGTATGATCAGGAAAATATACATAAAAGGGTAAAAGTAAATAATTTGTAAAAAATGTAATTAAAATATATGAAAGGCAAAATAAACAGATCTTTAAGTCCAAGAAGCTAGGAAGTTTTCTATGCAAAAAATTACTTAAAGTTAGCAACATTTCTGCCAATTTTCTTCATAATATGTGTGTGTAGAATAGGAATCTATAAAGTACTAAAGCTTAAAGTAAAAAAGTACAATATTTCCCTTTAAATTGTAGTGGATTAGAGTAAATTAAAGTAGCATACAATGAAAATACTTAAGTAAAGTCCAAGTACCTTAGATTCACACTTAAGTACAGTCCTTGAGTCAAAAGTTACTTTCCACCAATGGGAAGGACTCATAAAACTTTGGGGCGGATCCAAACCTCAGGTCAGAAACATGAATCATGTTTCACTTTTATTAATATTGCAAGACAGGGTCTTTGCTCTCCAGGATTTTCTAGGTTAATTTGTTTTGGTAACATTTTGATAAAAACGTTATGATTTAAAATAAAAGCTGTTTAACACGTTTTTTTATGCGAAGTTTAGGTGAAGTTAACAGTAGTGCACTCCAGGACAGGTTTCATTTGAGACTGAGCCCCGGAGCATGCAAATAAACAGAAACAAACGTGAGAAAACACATAGAGGACAAATGCAAATGAGTAAGGACAGATGGGTTGATGCATGGCAGCCGTGGAACCAGATGGATGGAGCAGTGGAGGATGGATGGGTTGACTAAAGATTGCTCGATGGACGGACAGATGAACAATGATAACTTAAGACAATAGCCGTAAAAAAACATTTCGTATCTGCCAGGCGAATTAATAAAACACTTGTCAGCCATCTTGTTCTCTAGTTGGTGACTCGATGCCACATTTGAGAGATCACCTGATCAAGATTCTTCAAAAGCATTCATAAGTTAGTTTCTAGAAATGACCCTAGATTTGCAAAACTTTGCGAAAGCTACCATTATAACTTGTTGAGGTCAATGCCTAACCTAAACCGTGTTCTAACAGTTTTGCAAATCTTGGGTTACCTTCTAGACACGACCCATTCACATTGGGAAACCACAAGCAGGCAAGAATCTTATACAGTAAGGGAACTGAATAAAGCGCGACCTCAACCAGTGATAAGGACGTCAATCGGCATCAAAGCTCCTTCATAAACAATTACCAGCAGCTCACAAACACACTTTGTTTTTGTCAGAGATATTGTGAGCCTCAAAATACACACATTCTTCACCAGAACAGATCAAAGAACCACCTTCAGATGTTACACTGAACTCCAAACTTTTATGCAGGGAAAACACAACGGTTCTTCACAGAAATCTGAACCATTGTTTGTTCTCCGAAGGAAGAAGAAAGAGTGAGAGATTGCAAGCGACAGCACGGAGAGGTGAAAGACAAAAGATGTTAGAAAGACGAGATCAAACGGGAGAGAAGAGGCCGATTCAGAAGCAGAGAAGAAGAGATCAGACAACATATGTTAGCAGTCACATCAGAGGACTCTGCGGAAACACACCTCAGTGTTAAAGAACCCAGCCTGGTACCAATGGTGACCTCTAACACACACATTGGCAGCATTACCATCCATCTTCGAGCACACACACACGACCCCAGTTGGCTAGCACACACACACAGACACAGTACACACAGTACACACAGTACACACAGTACACACACACTAACCCCAGCGGGCCGAGACAGCTGCATAAAAAGCTCAACTTGAAAAAAGAAAGTATTCAGCAGCAGTGAGGCCTAAGGCTGTGTGTGTGTGAGGTTTAGTAGAAGATGACATCATTCTGACTCTAGTTATGATCAAAATAATTTTCTAGTGGAAGAATAAGGCTCGTAGCAGAAGAAAAACACAAGTTGTTTCAGGTCGCTGTGCGGACGTCCACTTATTCCCTCTCGGTTCTCTAAACTCAGTCAACCCCAACACAAGCTTTTCCAGGGACTGCACCAACATATAGAAATCAGAGTAGCGATTTAGCTCAACCTCTAAAACCAATTAGACAAATGAAAAGTCAGAACTGCTGTCAGTAGCGTTATCTTCATTAGTGTGCTATTCAACATTAAGGGACAATGACCACCTTTTCTGGCAGAAAGGTGCTGTCGGTGCGCTGAGAGACTAGCATGGATTTAATCATCTGTTTGTGCAAAGATATTGGTTTTTTCACCATCAGCATCAACTGGAAGATTCTTGCTCTGACACTTTGTATGAATGAGCTTGTCTCTGCTCAGTCCGACAGCCATATAGCGAGGAAGGAAGACGATAAAGTCACTCACTGGCAGAACATCCGGGGTCCACCCGGCCAAACTGGCTTTCGGTCTTTGATATGAAAGCGTTTGTCAGACCGACGCGGCCAAAAACAAGCTTTTCATGCGATTTATAAAGTGACGTCACCAGCACTTTTCTGACTTGGAACTTGGAGCAGCTGCACGAATAGAAAAGACACTGGTCAGTGCGCTCTTTCTGGAGGCGGCAACTCTATTCTCATTGGAGTCAATTGAAAAATATGCTGGCGCTCAGCAAAAAGTGCAATGTGGACACTCTTTTCAACGCCTTCAACTTTTTCAGTGTCCTTCTCATCCAAACGTCTCATCCTCTTCACAATAAACTTAATCTGTGCCCCTATTACCACACATCCTTCACCATCATCATCATCATTTCCAGACTTACCTATGTGCATTGTCCCATACAGAGGAGAGGAAAGAGACAGAAACAATCACATTGAAAGTGAAAAGATGAGTAAATTAACACAAAGAGAAATCAGGTGAGCATAAAATGACGTCTTTACCAGGAATTGAAACACCTGGTCTCTGCTGTTCGGGGATAGTTAGCCCTGTGCTCGACTCAAGAGACGAGATGTCATTATTTGCGGTGGAGTTGGGTTCAGTGGGGTTGGACTTACGGCTTTAGGTTTGAACGGCGGCTGAACTTCCTTGTTCTCCAGTTTCTCCCAGTCCATGTAGCGGAAGAAGCTGTGCTCCCGGATGTCCCTCTCGCCCTCGGGTGCACAGCCCAGCCGCTTCGCTGGGTGCTTCGTCATCAGCTGGACAGACAGAAGAGAAGAATTGCTATCAGTCTCTCTTCACTCTCTCTCTCTGCAAATGTTATGTGTTCACTTTGTCAGCTGTTTTGTTATTTGGTCTGTTTAAAATGTCCTTGTTGGGTTTTATTCTGTCGTCCTAACCCCATTCTTTAGTCAAGCTTTGCTTCGCTTTCTCTATCCTGATTTAGAAGTTAAAAGTATTTGGTCATACTAAATGTTAAAGGGGCCCTATTGTGTGTATTTTAAGGTTTGCATTTGTGCCTCTACTGTGTAATGTTTACATGCTTTAATGTTCAGTGCTTTATTTAAAAGAAGAAAACCTATAAAACACACTAGAGGAAAAGCTTGCAGGAATATCACAGAAGTATAACGTTAATTATTATAAAAAAAATGAATAACTAATAGAAGGCTAAATGCTACATTTAAAGATGAATGATGTTTTGACTTGTCAGAGCTAAATCATATGCATTGTTGTAAACTAAAGAGGGATCTGCATCGGATCCATGCTCACCAGTGTGCCGCTGCGAAGTCCCAAACCTTCCCTCTGGCATCATTAAAGTTTCATCTAATTTATTCCTGTCTCTTTTCGTCAGCGTTTTCGTCTATGATTCCTCCTTTCATTCATCTCTGTTTATAAATAAACGTCACCCCTTTATTTTTGTCTCGCCCTCCTTTTAACCAGCTTTCAGTTCCACTATCTATCATCTTAAACGCTGTTTCTAAAACACCAGATATAAGCCTACGAACCACCGCCTGCAGAATGCATTTTGTTTTTCTTTTAACGCAGAAGTTTTCCAGAGGCACAATTAAGGACCGTTTACTGTGTGTGTCCACACAAAAGCTTAAGAGCAGCATCAAGGCGACTGACGTCAGAATGAGTGTGTGTGTGTGTGTGTGTGTGTGTGTGTGTGTAGGTGGGTGTGCCTCCCTCAGGAGCAGCAGTCATAACTCATTACATTAGAACTAAAATAACATTTTCCACGGGTCAGTCAACCTTACACTGAACACACACACACACACACACACACACACACACACACACACACACACACACACACACACACACACACACACACACACACACACACACACACACACACACACACACACACACACACACACACACACACACACACACACACACACACACACACACACACACACACACACACACACACACACACACACACACACACACACACACACACACACACACACACACACACACACACACACACACACACACACACACACACACACACCTAAATTAACAGGCATGCCGAAAGTCAACAATTGAGTAAGAGTAATTTAATTAATAAGTAATTTATATAAAATAAATGTAAGTGTTTGTTTGGAATAACAACGTCTCTCTCTCTGTAACCTTCGTCCACCTGATTCTTTGAACCTCTCTTGATGTCCACTTGTATGTCTTCATATCTCTTGTTGTTGGACTTTGATATAAATGTGTCTTGCCCTGTAATGTGCACAAGTTTCAAGGTGACTCCGTGTTGTGGGCACACTTAAAACCACACATGTGCTGCTAGAGTACATTTGAAATATTTTGTTACAACAGCCCCAAAAAAACCCAAAAAAGGTTCAATAAAGAAGGCTTATTTACTGACAAGAAGTGCAGTCAAAACATTGCATGTAAACTACCTGGCGCACTGGAGCTCTGCATTTGTGCCCTTGTATAGGTACATTGTAAAAAAAGGCTCCATATTGGCCTCTCATAACAAAATATACAAATAAATCATTAACGGAAACCGAAGCACAAATAATTCAATTTACTGAATATATAACAAAAAGCCACAATTCATCATCATGTCAAGAAGACAAAGTAAGACATTTTGGCTCGTACGTCATCTCTTATTTGTGTTTATTTTGAGTCTGTCAACAAATCAGGTGACTGCAGCTAATCTCCTCTGAAGGGAGTCTTGGTGGATCCTCACTGCGTGCATTCAATTAGGAGAACGGCACATTCAGTGGACCACAAAGCAGCCGGACCGAAACAGGTCACTGATTGCAGGAAGTAATGACACACAGCATGACTGTCTTCCTCTGGTCACTCAATGGTAACAGGCTGTATTCGCCATCTGGTAAAACTGGGCCTACCTAGTTCCTATACAATCATGGTATTTGTTTTAATATATAAGCTGACGGGATCAAACAATGTCATTATTTCAATGCTATTTTCATCATTTTAAAATAACTAATTATGTGTCAAGACATAATGTTTTATGTTATTTTTTACATTTGTGACTCCACTTGCACAAAGTTAGTGAAGTAGTTTGTGCTCATGCAGTGCAGATGGTGCAGGAAGTTTGGTAAATTTTAGCATACAATGGCATCGCTCATTGGCATAAGAGAAAAAAGTGTTGTTTTGATTAATATCATTGCATTACTTTAAGTTGATTACATACTTAACGGTATTGTAGAACAGCATATATGTACCAGCAGTGCTTAATTTGAGGTTTAACGGGTTAAACAGCGCGGGCACATGGAACAAAAGAAAGAAAGAGAGATTTTAATAGTTTTATTATTATTCATATATTAATGAATCTACATTTCAGTCTCAGCTTTAAACACCAAAATCATTGAATAATTATATAGTGACAGTTATTGTTTTATGAAGTCATAGCCTTCTTGTCGTCATCATCATGCTCTCTCAGCGTATATGCAGGAATCCTGAAGTCACATGTAAAACCTTTTAAGACCTTTTTTAAGACCCTTTCCGTACATTTTAAGACCTCATCGCAACTTCGAGTTCTAACCGGTTACATTGGCGACACACTTTACCTCACATTTACTATATTGATTGTAAGATAGCACAACTAAACAGAGTGCAGACAGACTACTGAAGCCTCCTCTCCACATGAACTTCAACCTCTCTGTGAAGGTCAGGTTTAATGCAGTATGTTGCTTCTGTACTCTGTGCTCTATCATTCCAGTAGAACTCCTCAGAAACCATTAGAAACCAGTATTTGACCAATAAACAAAACAATTGACAAAACTTTGAACTATGAAATATATTAAACTTTGGTGAGCTTCAGCGGGGTAATGCCATATAGGAGCTCTCTCTTAAATTGGGCTGGGGCTGTCCGGGGCTAAGCCCGGCACATAGGACGATGCTCTGACGTCATCACCCTCACACATTTGTCATATGTTTACAAAAAACGATATATATGTTAATACTTTTCTCGTTCTTAATATAGACTATATTTTGGGTCGATGTGTTGACCTGACTTTAAAATAGCAGATCTCTGTGACCGGATATAGTTTGGCTTAGACCCCGGCCCCACGAGGACGCATACAGTAAAACCAGTAAAACGCATACGCAAACGCATACGCAAAAAAGTCTTCCGTTCACACGCATTCGATTCATTAACGTGTCCGTTCACACTAGACCGCTGGAAATGCTGGAAACGCTGTAGTACATATGCCAGGCCTGTAAGTGGCGCTGCTGCCGCCACAAAATACACCAAAAGCAGCGAAGAAGACCACGGAGCATGGTTGTCATGGTTGCCCTTCTGTTTACGTTATGCCATGGATGTATAATAAGAACGCGTTATGCGTATGGCACGGTAATCTAACAAACATGTGTGCAATCTTTTTTTGCTTGTATGTGGTGTGTTGCAATTACACGGTTCTTCGCTGACTTGCACAGCAAAGGTGGCAACACATTTCTTCTTTAAGGAAAACACTAAACATCCTCTTCCTCTGGATAATCGATACACTGCATTCTCACCTGAATGACGTCATGCTGGTGATTACACCATTTAAAAAACTGAGCCACACTAAATGCATTGCAGAACACAATAGGGAACTGCATTGGATAACAAAAAGCTGTGCGCCTTTAAGTTTGTTAAAACGCACTTGCATAATTACTCTTTGTTGTAGAATCATGTGGTTGAACACATCATGATCCTAACACTCCAGAATATACTGCAGTGGCAGCTTAAGCCTGTGTGTGTGTGTGTGTGTGAGAGAGAGTGTTCTTGTTCACGTCTGGGTGGTGTGGCACATTGCTGGCTATGAAATATGGATGCTGGTCAGGGCTGAAGCAGGGGAGTGGAAATGTCTCCGATCACTCCCTTTCCACACATGACACACACACACACACACACACACACACACACACACACACACACACACACACACACACACACACACACACACACACACACACACACACACACACACACACACACACACACACACACACACACACACACACACACACACACACACACACACACACACACACACACACACACACACACACACACACACACACACACACACACACACACACACACACACACACACACACACACACACACACACACACACACACACACACACACACACACACACACACACACACACACACACACACACTTAGTACCGTTCAGTGTGTGGGCATTGGTATAATAAAGGAAATAGGCATTAAACAGATTTAATTTACATCAAGCTGAAAGGGAGTCAACTAAAACATCTACGGAAATGATCTTAACATGTGTTGGTGTCAGTCATTCAGAACCAAACAACCAGGGCTTCTTTCCTAGACTTCTACACTTCTGAATCCACAACATACTTGGCAATACACACATTCTAACAGTCAATACTAATAATAAGTTCAATATTTGTTGTTTAACTCTTTAACTGTTGTGCAAATAAAAAAAATGAGTTTGTATGTTTTGTTTGTCGTTTGTAAGGTCAAGAGGATTTCAATGTTCATTTTAGTAGTTTATGAATTGTATTTATAGAGGCAGGCACACACACATGGACACACACATGCAGTGTAGACAAACACACATGGACACAAACATACAGTACGCATACAGTACAGCATGGACACACACATGCAGTGTAGACAAACACACATGGACACATACATACAGTACAGCATGGACACACACACATACAGTGTAGACAAACACACATGGACACAAACATACAGTACGCATACAGTACAGCATGGACACACACACATGGACACACGCATGCAGTGTAGACAAACACACATGGACACAAACATACAGTACGCATACAGTACAGCATGGACACACACACATGGATGCACACATACAGTATGGAACACACACTCATGTACAGTTTAGATACACACACAAAGACACATAAACATACATTACAGTATTGGACACCACGGTGGGATTTTCACGGAGGCCATGACGGCCATGGCCGTCGTAGCCCCTCGGTCTGGCCGTTATGCCCCACAAATAATTGTACGTCCTACGGCCACCATGGCCTTTGGGCCCCTCACACTGTTAAAATCTTGAAGTTGCTTTAAAAGCGTCAGAACAGTGGTTTCTGAACTGCATTATGCTGCGTTCACAACGGACGCGATGCGAATATTCACATTGCTCTAACCGCTGGAGTTTCACCCGGTTTCACCGCGGCTGTCAGCTGTGTTTACTCCTGTCACAGGGTGCGCTGGAGAGGGGGCGGGGCTTATATCCATGTAAATACTGTGGTGGAAACCAACTACGACAAACTTATCCTATTTTACCGTGATTTAATTGTAATACATGTTTCAAAATGATGCCGAATTAATTAAATACTGGTAACGGTTAGTAAAAACCATGCTTTGACAAGTGTGCAGACAAGACGGCATGCGAAAAACCTTTTAAAATGCGTGTTTTCTGAATGGAGATCGGATCGATCAGGCTAAACTAACGTTGTAGCTGCTCCATCCAAACTCACACCAACGTCCTAAAGACAGACATGACACAGACAGTCTGTGATATACACACACACACGAATGATGTATGTGCAGAGTTTGACCCTTGAAGGCTGTTTCTTCTGCTCTGAAATGGAATCTATTTGTTACATATTAATAGAATTTTTGATTTGATTTCAGATTTGTGAATGGGAAAAGTAGTAGATGGAAAGCATACCAAACACTAATTATTCAAAGTAAAGTATTTCATTTTATATACGGTAATACTAAGGAGGCATAGGCCTATAGGATGATATAATGTTTGACATTATTGATATAAAAAAAGTGATGTCATTCGTGTGTTCATCAGAACGTTTATTTATTTGTAAGCTCCAAATCCAAATGTTTCCCTCAATGGCCTTTCCGCCCTGAAAAAATGTGTGACACCAAAGGCCAAATGGCCTTGCCCCTAAAATGACGAAAATCCAAACCTGATGGACACACACACACACACGGATGGATGCACATATACATTATAGACACACACTTGGACACAAAAGTACACACGCATACAGTATAGACACATACACACATCAATATACACACACACACACTTTCTCACACTGAGACACTTATACGTGTTCATAATTGTACACATTTGCACACTACGGAGTCACGTGAACAGAGACATAAACAGGCACACGCTTGGACTCACACATACAGTAGAGACAAACCCACATGGACACACACAGAGTATAGACCCTCACACACTGACACACACGGACACACACACGGACACACACACAATATCCATGCAGTGAGTTAACCCGGGCAGTGCTGGCAGCGCAGTGGGGGCTGTGGGGGCGGACGGAGGCTTTCACGCTCTACTGAACATCCACTGTCGTAGCACTACAACCCAGGAATCATCACTAATACATAAAACAGCATGTGTGTGTGTGTGTGTGTGTGTATGTGTGTGTTAACATATATGTCATCAATTTGCTCATGAACGCCCTAGCTTTAATATTAAGCGTAACAAAGTCATGCTGTCATCGCCCGTGCGTGTCTTAACTCACGCCTGAACTGTACGTTGATGGTAATACACGTGTATGTATGTGTGTGTGTGTGTGTGTGTGTTCATACACAATAAATACAAATCTGTGTTTGTGTTTACAAGTTCATTCAATGATGTCAACATTTGTTTGTTTATAAGTGATATATACATAATGAGGATTGATAGTGATACCATCACAGGGAGATGACGTGCTGTGTGTAAAAGAAAATCTAAACATACTGTACATCTCCAAGTGTGTGTGTCTATGTTTGGGTGTGTGCAGTTTGTCGTGGTCAGTGAAGCGTACAGTTTGGAGATGAGAGGTGGTGGTTTGATAGAGAGGACACACTCTGTTTATAGCAGTAATCAGCTGACACACACACACACACACACACACACACACACACACACACACACACACACACACACACACACACACACACACACACACACACACACACACACACACACACACACACACACACACACACCACACACACACACACACACACACACACACACACACACACACACACACACACACACACACACACACACACACACACACACACACACACACACACACACACACACACACACACACACACACACACACACACACACACACACACACACACACACACACACACACACACACACACACAATTCCAGTTGGGAAGTGTCAGGGTATAATTTGGTATTGGCCAATGTTTTTGAACAGAAGTGGCCACAGTCAACTGAGCACACAGCACAGGCTTTGCCTATTAGCGCATTTCTGTGTGTGTGCGTGTGTGTGTGAGAGACAGAGAATATGTGTGTGTGCTTGTCTGTGTGTGTGAGAGATAGAGGGGATGTACAATGAAAAGAGCAAAACAGCGGCTTAACAATGAACACTGCGGAGAGAGAAGGACGGGAGAGGAGAGCATTATAACAGACAGGGGGAGAGAGAAAGGGGGGAGAGAGAAAGAGAGAGGGGGGAGAGAGGGAGGTAGAGATGGAAGCAAGTCAGATAACGAGAGCGGACAATGTTGTTTCACTCCAAATAAATGTTCCCCCACAATGGTTTTAATTATGCTGATAATTGTGATGTCCTTCTCTTCCTCCTTCCCACGTTCACCTCCTTCTTCTGGGTCCTGCTTCCTTTCCTCTGACAAATGTAATACCCTACCAACTCTATTCCTGTGTGTGTGTGTGTGTGTCACAAAGAGATGGAGCAATGCCAAAAAGAAGGCAGGTTTTGTGAGAAGGGAGCAAGGTTGAGCTCACGAGACGGACAAGGACTTGTGCTTTACCAAGTGTGTGTGTGTGTGTGTGTGTGTGTGTGTGTGTGTGTGTGTGTGTGTGTGTGTTTGCACTCACCCCTTTACAGATAGCGACAGCCTCTTTGGACATTGACTTGGGATAGGAGACGTGATGCTCCATAATGGACTGAAATAACTCATCCTCATCTTCACCGTCAAATGGAGGCTGAAGAGGAGAGGAGAGAGGAAATAAGGAGAGGAGGAAAAGGAACAAGAGTGGGCAGGACAGGACAAATGGAGGACATTTAAATTGAATCATTAAACCTTTTTCTCCTCAGAATCAAACACCACTAAGTACTGTAGTACTGGCACATTCACAATATGCACTCCAAATGAGATATCCAGGATTTGGAAATGTCACATCTACGCTAACAATTATTAATGCCATGAGAGGAAAACTCATCAAGGGGTTTAATTTAATAGCTAACCTTTCATTAGCACAATGTCACATTTTAAAGGCTAAGATCACAAGTGTTTGTGTTTTGTCACATTCAGTCATGAATACAAATGCTGTATAAGGAGGAGTTTTATCGCACAAAGTTTCTATTTATAAAACTTTGTATAAGACACACATCGAACACACACAGACTGACCTGTCCAGCTAGCATCTCATAGAGCAAAACTCCAAAGGCCCACCAGTCCACAGACTTTCCATAAGGTTGATAGGCTATGATCTGAAATATAAGACACTTTGTTCAGGAAAATGTATCAATTAAATCTATAGCAAAAGCAGAGTGCATGAATGAGCCCTTAACAGAAGAGTGAGCATTTAGGACTTCCTGGTTCCCTCGTCTCAGGTGCTGTTTACACGGGAACGAAAAGGGTTGTATCCGCTACTTTTTTCTTTTGTATAGCCCGTTCGTTCACACGAGGCCATAACGGAACCGTGGAAACGGACCCCTAAAATGATAACGGGTCCTAAGGTGGATAGATCTGCGGACGGAACGCTCTGGGGGGGCAAACGGCTCCGTGTGTACGCCCTATACGATCATTTCCTGATAACGATGAAGCCATAGCCCCACCTCCACACACACACACACACACACACACACACACAACACACACACACACACACACACACACACACACACACACACACACACACACACACACACACACACACACACACACACACACACACACACACACACACACACACACACACACACACACACACACACACACACACACACACACACACACACACACACACACACACACACACACACACACACACACACACACACACACACACACACACACACACACACACAGTAAGGAGAGGGAGCAAATCAGACTGAGTCTACGGCTGCTGACTCATTGTCTTGGGTCCGCCCAGAAGTGAAACTGGCCAATGGAAAACTGCCAACTCACTGGCTAGCTCGCCCAGAAGTGAAATCGCCAATAATAAATAGCTAGGGAGGAGGAACCGACACAACTCCTCCCCACTTGTGTGTATAAATAATATGATATTTCGATGCTCGGGGCCCTTCTGACTGACCGTCTCGGTGTAGCACGGTAGTGGAATTGAGCCCAGAGTACTCTGTAAATTGTATTGTGTCTTTTGCCATTAAAACAGATTATTGTTCAAAATTGTATCCTGGTGCTCTTAAATTCCTTCCTTTTATGATTTAAACCAGCTCATCAAAAGGACACGCGGAGCCGAGGTGGGTTTCAGACATCTCCAACAGTATGATAAAGCTGTGTTTGCCACAGATCTTATTTCCTGTAATATTCCAAAATCAGATCATCAATCAAATCCCTTTGCCTACAAAAATACGTCATCACTGCACCACTCAATGCAAGGCAGGGAATAAAGAGAAAATGTGTTACAAACAAGTTAAAAACCTCAACATACATATTAAATAAAACATGTCCACAGGCCAGAAACACACTCTACCTCAGGAGCTATGTAGTCCGGTGTTCCACAGAAGGTCTTGGTAGTGACGCCGTCATTCATATTTTCTTTACACATGCCAAAATCTGCTATCTTAATGTGACCCTCGCAGTCCAGCATCACATTGTCCAGCTTCAAGTCTCTACAGGAGGAAAAAGCAACGTTAGCAACACACGATTCATGACCCAGCATGGACCAAGAAGGCTCATCATAGCACCATTTTCTTTATTCTACGCTACAGTTTTCTTCTCCTCTGCATCATTGTTGTTATTTTTCCTTGGGAGTTTAATAGGGAATGATGCAGTGCTTAACGCAAGAGGTCGAACTGGGGTTACACTAAAGCAGATGACAGATCCTGATTTGCAGTTAGGAGGACTGCATTATTTGTGGGGGTGGATTCTCAGCGTGAGATTATAAAGGAACCAGTTGATTGCAGTTGAAGGTCTAAAGGTCAGAAAATGTATTTTTCTTCAGTACCAACTGAGGGGGAGTTGAGGTCACCAAATATGGTGAATTCTGAATTTTATAGATTCATATCCAATGAAAAAGTACTTTTTCCTGCAGTTCTCTATTGCATAATTTAAAATATATATATATTTGCAAATATTGCAAATAGGAGTGTGCTGAAATAATCCTTTAAAGGTGGGGTAGGTCATTTTGGAGAAACCAGCTCGAGTGCGCTCGAATTTGAAAATACACAGCTGGAAAAAATCTGCCACTTCCTCACAGAGCCCCTCCTCCAACACACACGAACGCGCACATGACCAATGAGGGCACGAGATAAGTTTGTGCACAGATGGAAGGCTGACAGGCAGGTAGGCCATCCAGTTACTTTAGCCGGGCCGGCTAAAATGATTGGTGGTGCTTTTTACAGCACTACGGCTTCCACAGATGAAATGTTGTTATGGATTTTTTGTCAAAGCACTTTATATATATATAGATATTCATTGCTATCGGGATGTTAAGAGCATTCCATGGAATATAACAAAAAGTATATCTCGAGCCGGTTTCTCAAACTTAGCTACCCCACCTTTAAAGGTTCAACATATTAAAAGGAACTACAAAAAACGAACTAAAACTGCAGCGCTTCAATGCTTAAGACACACACTTCCTATATCATAAAGTTGTAAAGATATTTTTGGGTTGTTCCAGTAGTTCATTTAAATCCATATCTCCCAATTCCTTTTGCAATAAAAGACATCGTTTAACACATTGCAAATCCTCCACGATACATTTTGTATTTTGTTCATATGTCTAGTATGTTGTGGGATAGAGGTTACCTGTAGATGATGCCCTTTAGATGCAGGAAAAACAGACCAATGGCTATCTCGGCAGCGTAGAATCTACACACAAACACACAGAAACAAAAGCAGTAATTAGAAAGAGTCTGAGAGAAAGGACAAGAGGAAAACAGATGGATAATTTGTGTGTGTGTGTGTGTCCACGCAAAGTTCAGTGCTGTCTCTTCAAGGCCAGAGAGCGGCTGATAAGATCAACAGGAGGAGTCTCAACACACTAACCACGCAGTCAACTGTGTGTTTGTTTGCGTGGGCGTGCACAATCAGTGTCCGTTTGTAAAGTGCACCTAAAATATGTCAGGAGGCATTTCAGAGGCGTGGGGAAGCAGTGTGAGAGAGCTAGTTGGACGTTATGTACGTGATCAGAGGGGAGTTGCCGCAGCAGGAAGCTAACATGGCTTTAACAGTCATACACAGGAAATACAAGACACTGGGACAAAAGTTCAAGGCATCGTTATTATCCAGGGAGCAGTGTGTCCTGAGTGTGGAGTGGTGCAGTGATGGCACATTATTGTAGGCCAACTTGGAAGATAGCATCGCTAGGGCTCACTTGACAAAAGCCAATGGTTTTAATTATGCTGATAACTGTGATGTCCTTCTCTCCCTCCTTCCTCTGGGTCCTGCTTCCTTTCCTCTGACAAATGTAATATCAGGATTTTTCCATTGGATTATGGAATAGATACAGCGTAAATGCAATTGCCAAAAGTAAATAGCTAATGTAATGCTACAAACAAACTACATGACGATCGAATGACTTCCCGTCACCACTGCTAATCTAAAGAAGGTTAATGTTGTTATGTCTTATTCAGTTACTTCTTAGCAACCGCTGTATTTAGGACACGTGAAAGCGTCAGACAATCACCAGTAGTGTATGTACCGACGTATTTAATGAATACAAAAATATATATCCTAGGCTTGTATCGACCTTATTTCAGTCATCTAACCAAAAACTCATTAACTGACTTTGAGAAAAGGGAGCCCAGAAGTGCTAAAATGCTAACTTATTTCTGGGTCTAGGACTCATTCCTGCACCACTCAAAGCAAGGCAAGTTTATTTATATAGCACTTTTCAACACAAGGCAATTCAAAGTGCTTTACAAAAAATGAAAGACATTAAGAAAATGGCATTTAAAATCAGTCATTAAAAAGAAAAGCTAATAAAATAAACATTAAAAGAAAAAATACATGGATAAAAGTGACAGTGCAGTTTAAGATATGAATAGTTCAATTAAAAGCAGCGACAAAAAGAAAAGTCTTCAGCCTGGATTTAAAAGTAGTCAGAGTTGCAGCGGACCTGCAGGTTTCTGGGAGTTTGTTCCAGATATTTGGAGCATAATAACTGAACGCTGCTTCTCCATGTTTAGTTCTGACTCTGGGGACAGAAAGCTGACCAGTCCCTGAAGACCTGAGAGATCTGGATGGTTCATCATTTAGCAGGAGGTCAGAAATGTATTTTGGGCCTAAACCATTCAGTGCTTTATAAACCAGCAGCAGTATTTTGAAATCTATTCTTTGACACACAGGAAGCCAGTGTAAAGACTTCAGAACTGGAGTGATGTGATCCACTTTCTTAGTGTTAGTGAGGACTCGAGCAGCGGCGTTCTGAATCAGCTGCAGCTTCCTAATAGATGTTTTAGTGAGACCTGTGAAGACACCATTGCAGTAGTCGAGTCTACTGAAGATAAAAGCATGGACAAGTTTTTCCAAATCCTGCTCTGACATTAGTCCCGAGACTCTATTGCCTCATAAATATATTAAACAAGTCGATGGCCTTAATTAAAAGTCTACCCACCCTTTCCTTTTAACTTGCCTTTCAGCGGTTTAAACCTTCTGCCAGAGGGAAGCAACTCTATTTCACTATAAAGCAGATGAAGGGCAAACTCCACCACGGCTCTTGCTTTCCCGACAGCCCGCTTGTCAAACATGTCGCTAGTTTGACTGGACATCAGCGATCTCGCCAGCCACCTTAATTATACTCCGCTTTGGAGGTATTCTACCGCACACTAAACAAACTCACAAGAGCTGCTGGATTACTTTCAGTTCTTTCATCAGAGCAGCAACTTGCATCGAGGCGAACAACATATTTCCCCCCTCTGCTGCGATTGCTCATCCATCACCTGAGCCCGTCAAACTGCTGATGGCTTATTCAATATGATTTAAAAAAGCATTACATCTCTAAGCATGGGATTAAGATTTCATGTTATGATGCTTGTGTGTATGTGTGTGTGTGTGTGTGTGTGTGTGTGTGTGTGTGTGTGTGTGTGTGTGTGTGCGTGTGTGTGTGTGTGTGTGTGTGTGTGTGTGTGTGTGTGCGTGTACTTACACAGCGTGGGGCTCTTTGAACTTGCCGACCTGCTGGATCTGATACATGAGATCTCCTCCGTTTATGTATTCCATGACAAAATACAGACGGTCCTGCAGAGAGATAAAGATAAACAGAACCGGTCAAACAGTGTGTGTTCCTAAAAGCAGGTGAGAGGTCACTATGAAATAGAGACTAGAGTGAAAGGATTGCTAAAGAAGATAGAGTGAAGGTTTAAGTAAGAGAAGACTAAAGGAGATATGAGGGAAAAGGAATGACATAGGCCGTAATAATAGAGGACAAAAGATGTATTAGGAGGAACAACAGAGTCAGAAAGAGGGGGCCGGGTTGTTGTCCACTGAAACTTCAATTTAAAACATAATTCTCCTCCATTATCTACAGAAATTGCCAATAAGGTACAGAAAGTGATGGGAAGTGGAGGGATTTGTGAGTGTAGCAATGTGTGTGTTCAGAGAAACTATGTTGTGTTAGGGCTGCTAATGTGTGTGAGTGTGTTTGAGATTACTTGGACTTCCTGATACCTCTTAAGGCGTGGTATCTTTTCCCCGGAAAGTGGTAGATTTTTCCAAGATTGCACCGCGACCATCTATTTTTGAGTATAGGCAGTGGCGGCGCCAGGGTATGGCTGGGGTAGGCTACAGCCATACCAAGAAATGGCTTAGCCCCACCATGAAAAATGATGTTAAAGTAAGCAAAATAAATAAAAAAATAAGCAAAATGCTAAATGTTGAGAACACGGCTTGCGAAAATATACGGGTCGTGTCCACAACACACAAACTGCTCCTGCTGTAACAACAAGTGCACGTTACTGATGCAATATGGTTGAGACCATTCGGGCTTATGCTAGAGGGGTGCAAGGAATAGTCTAAGTAGTGGGCGAGTTTTATAAAGGTGTGGACATTCTCTGGCGTTATAATATCAGCGCGGCCGCGGTCAGATCAAAATGCCTCCCAATGCAATTTGAACAGACCTACAGCCAATCAGAGCAACGAAACGTTGGGTCTGCGTCATGCATTACTGATTGAGATCAATCGGAACCGGCATTCAGTACCCCCATTGGATCTTCAACGTGTACTATCATACGTTCACAGTGATCCCTTTTTATTTACTACAAGACAAATGTGCCTTTTTATTTCATACAGTTCCATTTTGATTGAGACAGGGAAATAATCTAAACCTCACGCGTGCGTTTCACTCTCAAGGGGGGCGATAGAGCGTGTATGTAATTACATTGCAAATACTGACTTGAGCCCCACCGCTGTATGGGTTAGCCCTACCATAGATTACCCAACACAAATACTCTGGGGCCGCCACTGAGTATAGGGCAAGGTAAAGTAAGAATTTCTTCATTTCTTTCATAGTCTTTTATAAAATGCTCATGGCGGCAAATGTTTGGTCTTCATTGGCATGAGTGGAACAAATAAAGAAAGTAAAACAATTGGAAGTGGATCTTGATAAAGGCAAGGCATACTTCATTTTTTTTGTACTTCTTCCATTCTTACTTATCACAATAAGTGCCCTTGACATACAATATTTGCATGTGAGTATACTGCATTTTAGGTGTCATTACATTAGCGTGCAATATATGCTCGATGTGTCTTTGTCTACAATGTATGTTTGATTTAAATGTAATGCTGTATGTGCACTACACTTCTATGCATGTACACGTGTGTTTTGACTGCCTGCTAAGTCCCATATGTATACAAGTGTGTCTATGGTCTGAGAATTGGAGCTGGGAAGGATTACACACTCTCTTGTGGTTTAGGAGTGTGTGAGTCTGTGTGAATGTGTCGGTTCACTTTTGTCTAGTCATCAACATCCGCCTATGGATTCACAACATGTTATTATGGCTGATCAATGAACCATGTATGTAAATGAGTGTTAAGTATGGAGCTATAGTTACTCCTCTGTTGACTCATCTTTGGTGTGGTATGGATTAAACCTCAGAAGAAAAGCATGAATCAAATATGAATCCAGTGTGTGTGTGTTCCAGCTGTGAGCTGCTGTTAAGACCACAGTGCTCACCAGCAGGACTCTGTGCCCCCCCCCATCGAACACAATGTGAAGGTGTGTCAGTGTGTCTGCTTGTAAAGAGTGTTAAATGGATGGTTCTTTGGATTATCATCGTGGTTTTGTGGTTAAATGCACCAATGTTCATGATAGCAATGTCTATAATTCATTATTAATATAAATATATTTAGTTTTAATCGGCTAAAAGCACCGTAAAACTAATTATAGATATAAGAACTAAATATTCATAATGCACAATGACCAAGAATGTGTCAGAAAATAAAGAATGTAGAAAGGGATAGTTGTTTTAATTCCAGTCACTGTGAATGGGCAAAGAGTCACATTTTCACACTAAAGTCTATCAAGCATTATCATTTCCTTATCTCACTGTAATTTCAATGTTATAGTATCAATTGTCAATATACTTAATATTTGCAATCACATTAGTTTGCAAGGATGATCGTTTATTATTATTCTCACAGTTTTAATGTTGCATTTTTGTAATGCCATATTTTAATTTCCACATTTTCAAAGGTTTTATTGTCATATGCACAAAGCTACAGTGTAGAAATGGCAATGAAAATCTTATGACCTGAGCTCCTCCAACAATCCAGCATATACAATAAAATACAAAAATACAAAATAAAAAGTCTAAATACATGTATATACTATATGCAAAGTTTTGGTGAAGTTGTGTCGTGTGAAGTTGTGTTGGCCATCATACCATGCTCTGGAAGGTGGAGTGCAGCTGTGTGAGGAACGGAGGTTTTCCAGCCAGCGCTAACACTCTCTTCTCCACCATGGTGCATTCAACGTCATCGTCCTGGATCACCACGTCCTTCTTCAGGATCTTTATGGCGTACAGCTCCTCCGTCGTTTTGCGCTCCGCCAGCATCACCTGGAGAGGGAGGAAGAGGATGGATGGTGAACACAAGGAATAATAAACACACATTTTCATATTTATATGAACTATCTGGTTTGCGGGCACACAAATATATTTTTTTAACTATACAGTTAAAATACATTATAAAAAAATAACAAAAGAAAAGAAAGAAAACCGATCAACAATAATTGTTCTATTTCTATTGGCTAGCGCTCCAACACATTGTATGCAATAAGCGAAGGGGCGGGAGATCTCTAAGCGGTTGACCAATCACAAGAAAGCCGGCAGGGTAATTGTAATTTGTAGTAGGATATGTCTTATTAGAGAAATACCAAAGAAAAATAATCTATATTTTAAATGGCACACAGCTACTGTCAATCCTTTATTGTAACACCACTTTGAAAGATAAGGTAAGGACGAAGGAGCAAGGAGGGAGAAAGGGTAAGGAGTGAGCTGTAGGAGGCAGGGAAAAGGGGGGGAGATAAAGGAGGTTCTGTAAAGGGCAGCAGGGATAAAGAAAAGCTGCTCTGACTCTGTGGGGTTAAGTCAAAGTAGAAGTAAAGAGAGAAAGGACAGGAAGGAAGGAGAGAGAAAACTGATTCATCAACTTTCAGGATGTCGTCAGAGAGGAGGTTACAAAGGAAAGAGAAATGGCAGGACAGGGGGAGAGGAGGGGGTAACAGGCTCCTTGAGTGGGATTGGGTGTCATTACATATAATAGGAGAATACTATCTTGTTTGCAATATTATGCACTCATTTATTTTTTGCACATTCGATGGACAATCTGCACTAATTCTCAAAATATTGAAGTGACTGTTATTTTGTATATATTGTTGTGTTTTTATTTAGGTCTCAATGTGTGCAATGTGTCTTTGACTGTGTACAGTATATACATATTTTTATATACATTTGTTTTTATATTCGGGATTGTGGGAAACAGTATTTCGAACACACAAACTGGAAGATTGACAATAAAGTTGACTTTGATATTTGTCAGACTGCACAATATCAACTTTGAGGCATGTCAAATTGGGAGCTAAATGTCTGGATAATTGTAGTACTAAGATGTAAATACATAAATACAGACTTGCATCATTCCTTTGTGTCACTCTCGCTTGAGTTTTTTTTTTTTTAATTTTGCACAAATGGAGCTCACATTGTTGAGTCTGCCAGCATGTGTTGTGTCTTCTCATGCTCATTTAGACAGACTAGTTGGTTTGTTATCTATTTCAGTAAAAGTGAATATTTATTTAATCGCATATACAACTCGATGCAAAATGTGTGTGCCTCCGTAAGATTGATATATCATTCAGCTTCTGTTTGCCATTTAACATTAGTGAGGAGTACACAGTACAGTATGGGGGCTTAATGGAGATAAAGGAAGGTCTATGGGTGAGGAGGGTGGGATATAAATAATGGGGGGAAGATTGATTGCCTTGAAGTGAAGAAGAAGAAAGGATGGCAGAGGAATAGATTGGCAAAATCCCACTTGTTTTAATGATCAAGTCTGACTATCTAATAGTGACTACACATGTGAGACACACGTACACACACCATGGTGTTTTCTCGTGGAGGTCGAATAAACGCAGAGGATAAAACCACTTTGAGATGTTTTTGTGTGTACTGTATGTGTGTGTGTGTGTGTGTGTGTGTACATGTTTAAAGAGGTGGAAATGTGTTGTAGACAAGGTCAGGCTCACAGTCTCTCAATCAGAGCAGTAAACGTTTCCGTCTCGTCTTTCTCTGGTCTCTTGTTTACCCTCTCCTGTTCTCCTCTCATTTTTCACCACTTCAATTTCTCCCTTTCCTCTTCTTTCTCCTCCCCTCTCCTCATATCTTCTTTCCGGCTGCAGCGGGTAAAATGTAGGTCAAGACCCAGCTTGCAGGTCATCTCATAAAAGTTGCAGCAGGCTTGTGACCAGGTCATAAAAGTTCAACTCCCTGGACGTAAATCGGTATGGGGGAATTATATGAGCAAGTGTAACTATTGAAGGATGGATATATCAAATAGATGTGACTCTTATATCCGTCTGTTCAATCTAAGCCTATAAATATTTAGCTTAAGAGGGCAGATTTTGTTCCCTTTGCACAGAGCCAGGCTGGCTGTATCCCATCACTTTTGTATTTATGCTAAGCTAAACTAGCTTTATGTGAAAGAGGAATTTAATCAAATCAACGCTAAAGCATTAGACAACTTAATTTTTAATTTAAGAGCTCACAATTTGAAGCTCATCCTGTCCCTCGACTTTTATTTTTTGCTAAAACTTCTCAAAGGTTTCGAGCTTAGGAAAGAGACATTTTTCAGAAAGTGGTAATTTATGTAAATTATCAGCACTGATAAAGTTCCCACGTGTCAGAGTGCTCTGCTGAAACTAGTCGTCTGGCTCTCTTGCTCTTTCTATCACTCTTAAACTAATACAAGTACTTTTATCTTAAAACAAGGCGGGTAAGAACGATATAAAAAGGAGTTTTACATGACATGGCTAGCATGGTGTGTTTGTAGTTCCCATAAGGCTAATTGAGTTTTGGGACCTCCACAAAGGATCTTATATCCAATTGTATTCCATTTTAAAAACGTTTGTATTCTCTTATGTTCATTTGCATAAAACACAGGGGGAACTTAGAGACTGGAAAATGCTGCAACTGTGTTTGATTGATTTATTGATGTGTTTAATTCCTCTGGGGAAGCTACATAGACTTAGAAAGATCATTGTGTAAAGAAAACAGAATGTCTGCAAACAGAGAACATTGATGAACTCCAGCCTCAGGATGCTAATGGAAAACTCTCATTATTCTTTCCAAAACCTTTAACTACAGATTAATGAGAGTGACCTTATATCTAATTCATACTATTTTTCCCCAAAGAGATCGGGAACTTTGCTGTTTATACCATATAAATATTCAGGTATGATAATGTAGAGGGGTTATCGGGTTTGGGTTACTACTGGGAGTGAAGCACAGATGGATTAGACACACAAGTGTATATATGTCAGCGTATATGCAGGAATCCTGAAGTCAAATACCTTTTAAGACCTTTTTTAAGACCCTTTCCATACATTTTAAGACCTCATCGCCACTTCGAGTTTTAACCGGTTACATTGGCGACACACTTTACCTCACATTGACTATATACAGTATTGATTGTCCTTCCTCCTTATCTCCCAACCATTTGGACGCAAATTTGCATTTCCCCATAACGATGTTGTTTAACAACCGGCGTAAACGGTCCTTCGCGCGCTATCAAGCAGTGAGCTTGCAACGTCCTGTTCAGATGACGTCAAATCCAACGGGATGCCCTAGTGCATGCGTTTGTCACCACCCGCTTGGACTACTGCAATGGTGTCCTGTTCAGGGTTCCCAATAAAACCCCGGACAGGCTCCAGTATGTCCAAAACTGTGCTGCTAGGGTCCTCATGCACACAAAGCCGTGGCAGCACATCACTCCCACCCTCATCCACCTACACTGGTTGCCGGTCAAGTCCCGCATATCCTACAAAGTCCTCCTCCTTACCTACAAGTCCGTCCATGCCCTTGCCCCCCAGTACCTATCGGACATCCTTCACCCACATGCCCCACCCCGGAACCTGCGGTCCTCAGACTCTGGCCTGCTTACCACCCCCGCACCAAACTGCCAACCTTCGGGGACAGAGCCTTCAGTGTGGCAGCCCCCACCCTCTGGAACGCTCTCCCTGCGGAGATTCGCAACATCCCCACACTGGACGCCTTCAGAAGGGCCCTCAAGTCCCATCTGTTTGCCAAGGCTTTCGGCCCCTAAATCGATCTGTTGTTTTGTCTGTCTGACTTTTGTTTTGTTATGTTTGTTTTTGCCCTATTACTTGTAAAGCGACCTTGGGTCCCTTGAAAGGCGCTATATAAATCCAACCTATTATTATTATTATAAATAAACTACACAGAATCACACTACACACCTACGCAATGATTACATTCAGGCAGACTGTAGAATACAACCTCTTTGGACAATTTATATACTTATTGAAAACAAGCTACAAAATGTAATGCCTTGGAAAATGCAGTTTAATACTTTTTAATAACATTCATTTTCGCTAAATTGATTTATCAACTTTTAATACGTTTTAAGACCCCGCGGACCCCCTGCATGTGTGTGTGAGGGTGTTAAAGAGGAGATAGTATGTTCATTTTCAGATTCATATTTTGTGCCTCTACCATGAAATGTCTCCATGCTCTAATGTTCAAAAAGCTCTATTTCTCTCATACTGCCTGTGCTGCAGCACCTCTTTTCACCCTCTGTCTGAAACCAGAGCCCAGTCTGCTCTGATTGGTTAGCTGGTCGGCTCTGTTGATTTTTGGTCGAGCCAAAGTGCTGTACATATAATAAAATTAGCCTACAGTAGAGACACTCTAAACCATTAGAGATGTCCCGCCCCTTAGCAGTGTGAGAAAAAGTTTTTAGAGAGTACTTGTCCATGGACAAGTGAGTTTGGCAATTTACTTGTCCGAATACATTTTTCACTTGTCCAGAATGGACAAAAATTGGGGCCACTGGAATCTTCTTCTTCGCCATCGTATTTTACATTTTCCCACGTTTTTTACGACACCGCTAACGTAAGTGAGCGGTAAGATTTTACTGCATCACACATAGGGTTGGGTGTCGTTTGGATTTTAACGATTCCGGTTATGTTTTTCGATTCCGGTTATTTTCGGTTCTCCATTCCGGTTCTTTGAGAGGGTCAAAATAAGTCCCATGACAAACTGGGAGAAAAATATATTTATGAAAATATTAAGTCAAATCTGTATTCATATTTACAAATCACTTCATACTGTTTAATTTCTTACAGTTATTGAATACAATTATATAAAAATAATCTCTGCATTGTTTAGTTAGTTCTAAGTGGTGCAGTTTGAGAATGTACAATTGGCCCAGTGTCCACTGCAACCTGCCTGTGAGACAGAGTCCAACCACACATGTCCAACACATAGGACATAACCTAATAATAATAATACATTATATTTATAGCCTATAGGCCTAGCGCTTTTCTACAACTCAAAGACGCTTGCACGCTTACACATGTCCTGCAATACACATGCTGCAGCTGCCCAGCTGCTCACTGTTTGCAAAAGTAAATAAATAGTATTTTCATTTCAATAATGTAGCTACTTTCTATACCCTGCTTCATAAACAATACTGACATCCCTGTGCTCCTCCGAGTCTGGGGGTCCGGGGATGTGAGGACAGCGCGAGGACACAGACAGGGAGGCTGCTTTACTTCATAAAGGACATGGTGGTCAATATTAACAACACAGGAGCTAAAACGCTTAATAATAATAACCTTCATTACGTGTTCGAGAAAGAACATAAGAAAGTTTGACAAAGATGAGGCTGTTAAACGGGCAGCGGATCCGCTGTGTGTAGAAAGAGAGAGAGAGACGCTGAGCTGCACCATGATACGGAGCATAGAGAGAGAGAGCTGCTCGGCCTCGCCTCCTGTCCTCACAACTCGTATTAATCCCGGTACCGGACAATTGATATTTGTTCTTACTCGGAACCGAGTTTTGCTTCCCAACCCTGCCACTGTGCTGCACCGTCTGCACCGTCGTTCTTATTATACATCCATGGTCCCGCCCCGCCCCCGTCTAACAGTACAGAAAGCGGCGAGATGCATTTCCTTAGGAATCGACAAGCAGAACCGAAACTAACATTTCTAAACGAACAATGGCGGACACGTACAATTTGCGAATGACTTCTGCCTTTTGTAAACTGAATGTATCAATAATTTGTCAATAAATGAGGGCGAAAAACGTCACTTGTCCGCCGGACAAGTCAATTGAAAGATCTACTTGTCCGATATCGTAAATAACACGTCCCGGACGGTGGGACGTGTGCTTTTTCGCACACTGCTTAGCCTATCATGTCAAATGTGTTTGAGTGCTAGCCAATAGCACCTCTGGCACCTATATAACGCATTACAATCTTCCGCATTCAAGTTTAGAGATCTGTTGAAGTTGGATGTATGCCGGTGGTATCCTTTGAAAAAAGCATATGTAAGTGTGTGGGAGTGTGTTTGTGGATAAGTGGACTCGTCCCATATGGTGGCAGTGTGACTTTGTAAATACAAACTCTATAAAGTTGAAACAGAGGAAGAGGAAGGACACCATCTGGCCCAAAGCTCATTTTATACAAGGACAAGGACAACAGCGACACAAGGGGAGCAAGACATAAAACCACAGCGGGGTTTTATCCCAAATGAAAAGGCGCACAAATCTCAATGCAACAACGGGAGCTTTTTTGGCATCATTACACACCTCATGGTGACAAATACAAGCACCATTTTAATTTTACCCTTCACACATAATTAAAACAAGTTACCATAAACTTCTGAGTTTATGATTTCACCGAGGTTCAATGTCTTATTTGAGGTCATTTTGATCACAGTGTCTTTCATGAAGGCTGCCTACTCTACTGTGGATTGTGTGTTGTCACTATTGGCAACAGCCTTTTATCCAAGAAAGTTGTTCAGGGTCATTTGGCAGCAGAGCAGACCTCGGGATATTAACTGTCATATGTCGTAAATGATGCCACAGTGTTTTCTCAGCTGACCTTGCAGAGTGAATTTACCCAGGGAAAACAAATGAATCCACACTCCACTGCACTCATGCTGCGCCATGTTTTATTACAGCGGGCGGTGTTGGATTTGATAAACTGTCATAGGTCATACATCATGTCTGGCGATACATAAATGGTCACTTTAGGAAAACGTGAGACTTCTTCAGGGCTCTAAGTTGACTAATAACTTAAAATGTTATTTGTTCTAATTTAAAAAAAGGTTGTTTGTTTTTTTAAAGACCAAAAATTGGGTTAGAATAAGACAAGTTTGGAGACGTGTTACTGTCACAATGTGAAATAGACCCCAACTAGTGGGTTTCAATTATTTACCGTTAAGTATTTATCTGCAAAACTAAATATTCATAAATAGATACAAAGATGACGTTTAAGTCATCAATTAATTGTTCAATCATATTGTAGTTTGTGACTTGATATTGATTCTGTTGAATGGGCATACAACATTGTCTTATTTCGACCACAGGCCAGGGAATTGAAATCATATTTTGACAGAATTTTTGACAACATCGAATACTGTATTTCAGTCCAAAGAAACGATGTAATGTTGTATTGTGATAGAACTTGTGATTTGAACAATTAGGGAATTGCACAATGTCCAGTAACACAGAGACAAATGTTAAACGTGCCTGTTTACAGTCCTTGTTCCAAAATAGTGGAACCCATTGATATCAGGAAAGCAGAAACTCTGCATATATTTAAAAAAAAATCACCTGTTTCGCCTGTACCCTGGACACAATTAAATAAATAAAGCAAATATATGTGCACTTTTCTTGTTGTTCCGAGTTTGTATCTGTATGGCTTACTACACCTATTGTAAGTTGCTTTGGATAAAAGCATCAGCTAAATAAAATGTAACAATAAAACACAAAATAACGTTGTTCTTAAAGCTAAGCGTTAGCACAATGGACAGCATTCATACAACGCAGACCAAAATGCTCCCACCCTGTAATAAATGCAGCTTTGTGCTTGTGGTGTGTGTGTGTGTGTGTGTGTGTGTGTGTGTGTGTGTGTGTGTGTGTGTGTGTGTGTGTGTGTGTGTGTGTGTGTGTGTGTGTGTGTGTGTACATACGAGACGTAACATTACAGATCAGGCAAAAGCATGTGTATGCCCATGTGTGCCCATGTGATACGAGTGTGTGTGTGTGTGTGTGCTATTACCACACTGTAATGCAGATGTTCTGAAGGTACCAGCCTCCCACACACACTCAGCAACCATCACACACACAAGCGTCACGTGAACGCCTGTTTGTGCACGTGGTTGTGTGTGAAGGACTTTCTAATGTACCGTGTGTTGTTCTTTCTAAATGTGTGTGTGTGTGTGTGTGCATGTGTCTGTCCACGTTTCAGGAATCTGTACGCATGCATGTGTGTGTGTCAGGTATTCCAGTAATGATCGACCCTCGACTCAGTTTCTCCATATTGACGCATCAGTGTTGCTTTAAACGCCTGTTACCATGGAAACAGGCAGCCGGCATACAGGTCAGGTACACAGACAATGGTCTCTCTCTCTTTCTGTCGTTCTCTTTCTGTCACTTTCTCTCTCTCTTTCTCTCTCCCCTCCCCCCCGCTGCTGCTCCACCCGTCTTTTACCCAATTTCCTCTCTCTCTCCCCATCTCTCCGTTCTTTCTCCTTCTCGCCTTGATTTTCATTCATTCCCGTCAGTCTTCCCTCTCCAAGGTTCCCCCCCTCCTCCCTCCTCTCACCTCTTTTCATTCACTCTGAGGTTTTTACCTCTCTCTCAATTCATTCATGTCAACCTTGCTCTCACATCTCTGTCTCTCCCTCCTTTCATCATTTTCTCCTCTTGTCACGTCATCCTCTCGGTCTCTTTCCTTTCATCCATCTCTGTCTCCATGTGCTCCGTCTCCTTTACCTCCATCTTCTCCTTCTGTCCACCTCTAAGCTCTGTGTGTGGATAGAGAGCTTTGATGCTCTGTCCAGCTCAAACGCTAACACATGCTCACAGACATTTCCATCATGGCACACAATTGGCTGTGTGTTTGCAGAGGTATGACGGCAGCTAAGCACAACACAGGTTCCTTCCTGTGGTTGATGCTCAGGCGAAGGGTCTGTCATCCACTAATCAGACTTAGGGATGAATAATCGCCTCACCTTGCCGAAGCTGCCCTTGCCCAGCACGATCAGGAAGTTGAAGTCGGCCAGCTTCATGCGGTCTTGGTTGCCGTCGAAACGAGCAGCAGCGTTAGCCGCCTTGCCTTCTGCGTTCTTGCCTGGTCCAATCTTAGCTCTCTGGATAGGAGAAAGAGATAATAGACGACAACATTAGACAGTGTTCTTACCTTTAAGAGCCAACTCAAGATCTACCTTTTTAGATTTTAAATCGTGTTTATTCTTGTTTTATTTAGTCAAGTGTTTATTGATTTGTTGTTGGTATTAAGTGTTTTTATAAATCACAAAGCTATGTGTTACTCTGTCTATGGACTGAGAGGGGGTTAGGTATTACATTACATTACATTGCATTTAGCTGACGCTTTTGTCCAAAGCGACTTACAATAAGTACATTCGACCAGGAAGACACAACCTTGAAGAAAACAGAATCATATAAGTACATCAGGTTTCATAGAGCCAAACATTTCAAGTGCTACTCAACTGGCTTTAGATAAGCCAGTCCTTTATTAGTCTATAAGTGCTTTGTTAATAGTTCTATCGCTCGAAGTGGAGTCGAAAGAGATGAGTTTTCAGTTTGCGCCGGAAGATGTGCAAGCTATCTGCCGTCCTGATGTCAATGGGGAGCTCATTCCACCATCTTGGAGCCAGGACAGCAAACCCACGTGTTTTTGCCGATGGGAACTTGGGTCCCCCTCGCAGCGAGGGCGCAGCGAGTCGTTTGGCTGATGCAGAGCGTAGTGCACGCGCTGGGGTGTACGGTTTAACCATGTCCTGGATGTAGGAAGGGCCAGATCCATTCGCAGCATGGTAAGCAAGTACCAGTGTCTTGAAGTGGACTCTAGCAGTTACCGGAAGCCAGTGAAGGGAGCGGAGGAGCGGAGGAGCGGAGTGGTGTGGGAAAATGTATTGTTTCCAACATTTCTTTTAATGGTTTAATTGATTGATTGTACATAAGATGCAACCTTTAAAGAGACTACAGGCTGTAAGTGAACTAGTACATGTATTTATATTTAAGTATAAATGATAAACGGCCTTTAAACAGTATTTGGTAAGGTGAGTAAGAGATTAACTCATTTCCTCAACGATATTTGTCCCTTAGGTCCTGGGAACTACAAACATTTGTTTATGCAATAATTAAAACAAATCATTTATAAAAGTATTTTGTATACAGACAGTCAGGCATTAACATGACTCTGCACTTCATGCGACTGATTTTGGGGAACAAAGGAGGGCGGTGGCTGTCGTTCTAGTGTCACAACATTCAGGTTTGCATAATGGCAGATGTGGGAAAATGCCTTAAAGGAAAATGTTAAATATTAATTTCTTAAGCACATCCATTTTGTAAATCTGTGCGAGTCATTAGTAACATTTATGTAACATCTTATCATTTGAGAAACTCCTTTTGTAATGCTGCTAATTATCTGGACCTAAGTGTTTTTGCTTAAGGTAAATGTGCTTTACATACTGAAAGATGTTGTTACAATAAGATGGTGAGACATTTTCCCATTGAAGATCACTTCCAACATTACAGCGCCATTTTATTTTAAGCATATTTGAAACTTTAAAGTAATAAAAATATAGGAAAGAGAAGAATACATCAAAGCCAGCCACATCTGTTCTTCCCAAAGTGAAGAAAAACTGTTATATTTCAGAATCCAAACACTGTTGGTCCAACACATTTAAATAAAGGCCTTACATTTTTCAAATATCCCCAAAAACTTCTGGGGTGCTTTTAAGAATTGGTGTCTTTTAAGATCAGAGAGTAAAACTTTGTGTGAGAGAGACGGGAGTGGATGTGATGAATATGTTAAAAGGGGGAACGTTTTCAACCTTTTTGCTTCATTGTATTTCATTTATTCTGAGCAGGCACTTTAAACTGTCCAAAACAAATATGTCTCCCTGTGAGTCTGCCACTCTGTTCCACCACTTCCCTTGTTTCTGTCCTTCAACCAGTCACTGTGAACGCCATTTATCTTTCTCTATAATTCATTTCTACTTCATCTATAAATGTGGCCTGTGTCTCTGACGCTGCATTTATTCATGTCTGTCACCATTTCTCCTTTATTCATTTCCGACTCTCTCGGAGTCAGTTCGCCTCGACCTTGTCACGCTCTCTATCCGTGGTACGAAACTATTCTAATCTTATAATCTAATCTAATTATAATCTTACACTCCACTTTGTTAAGCCATGCTTCAATTTAAAAACAGTCTTAAGACATTAAGAAAATGCCTACACACCGAGAGACAGAGGTGCAGGAAGAGTACATCTTATCCTATCTTATCTGAAATTGCTGATCCGCACTGAGGCTCTCTCACTTCTTCTCCTGTCCTGTGCACTCATTTCTCCGCTGCCTTGTGTGGACAATTGTCAGAGTGAAGCATCCTAGTCCCTGCACCGTTTGTTGTGTGTGTGTGTGTGTGTGTGTGTGTGTGTGTGTGTGTGTGTGTGTGTGTGTGTGTGTGTGATGCAACCCATACGGTTTCCAGACTCATCAATGGATAAAAAGGCCCTATCTGTCTCCATCTGTTCTAAAGCACACACATTCACAGACACACACACACACACACACACATTCACAGACACACACACACACACTCACACAGAGGTATCTGTGAGCAGCAGAGCACACTGAAGGCAACACTCTGAAAGCCTTCAGAGATCAATGCTGCACTCTCTGTCCACAGCCATGTGTCCAAATGTGTGTGTGGTCGAAAAATAAATAGGATGAATGGCAGAAGGAGAATCTAATACATTGCCTTGAAAACAAAATAGTTTTAACACCAACTTAAAGGGTTATTTGCTTTTCTGGATATTTGTGTAATTAAAGGGGCAATAGACACGCTTTTTGCTTTAACTTATCGAGTAAATGTCGATTGCTCGATGTAATGGCTGTAGAATAATGACACCCTCCACCATTAAGTTGGTTCCTTATAAGCCTTGCTTTTCACTAAGCAATTCTGTCTGCCACTGGGAACAATCGAGGGAAAATAAACCAACGATTTACGACACAAAGGATGTGCGTCTGTTGCCACTTTAAGTAGTGATGGAAATGGTATGTACAACTTATTTGTCAGGGATAAGGGGGAAAACAAAAAGGACGGGGAAAGAGGAAGAAATTGTGACTGAAGTCAGTACACATATTATCCATCTTCTCCCGCTTATCCGTGGTCGGGTCGCGGGGGTAGCAGTTCCAGCAGAGAGCCCCAAACTTTCTTTTCCCTGGCGACATCAACCAGCTCTGACTGAGGGATCCCAAGGCGCTCCCAGGCCAGCGAAGAGATATAATCCCTCCACCTGGTCCTAGGTCTACCCCTTGGTCTCTTCCCAGCTGGACGTGCCTGGAACACCTCCCTAGGGAGGCGCCCAGGTGGCATCCTAACTAGGTGCCCGAACCACCTCAACTGGCTCCTTTCGACGCGAAGGAGGAGCGGCTCAACTCCGAGTCCCTCCCGGATGACTGAACTTCTCACCTTATCCCTAAGGGAGACGCCAGCCACCCTGCGGAGAAAACCCATCTCGGCCGCTTGTATCCGCGATCTCGTTCTTTCGGTCATGACCCATCCTTCATGACCATAGGTGAGGGTAGGAACGGAAATGGCCCGGTAGACAGAGAGCTTTGCCTTCTGGCTCAGCTCCCTTTTCGTCACAACGGTGCGGTAAAGCGTCATGTCAATATAAAAGCTTTTTTAAAGGGGTCTTATCGTGCTAATGTTCAGGTTCATATCTGTATTTTGTGCCTTAACTGGGACATCTTTAAAAAGGCATAATGCTCCTGGACTTGCTTAGAATTGTGTGTGTGCAAATGCAAAACGTGCATTATTTATCACTGTGACTGTCTTGCATGTGTGTTTGTGTAAACGTGCACTGGGTGACGGGAGGCATGCTGGTCCAAATACCTACAGTAAGTGAAGACTATTTGTTGTGTGCGTGTCCTTCTTTCTGCCATCTCTCTGAGAGCTTCACGCTAGAAGATGCCTACATGCTTGTTTGTGTGTGTGTGTGTGTCTGATAGCTGGCCCCTTGAGAATGTGTCTCAGTGAACGTCTGAGGACCATGACCTTGAAGAGATGGAGGGAACGAAAGACAGATAAAAGGGAGAGAAACACACAGGGGGGCACTCAAGGAGACAGAGGACAAAACAGATAAGTGAAGAAGAGAAAGGGAAACTAAATGGAGACAAGGGGGGGGGGTAGAGAAGAAGAATTGCACAGACATCAGCACGTTAAAGCCGAGTCTTGCACAAGGAAAGACTCCTTTAAAGACTGATTGCACTGCTTTATGAGCAGAAGTCCTCACAATGGCCTGCAATGCTACAAACAGAAACGAGAAGGGTCTCTTTTCTTTTACCGGCCATTGTCTGGGGGTTTCTGGGTTCCACTCGCAGTGAGCCGATTGATTGATGCAGGGCGACGTGCACGTGCTGGAGTTTATAATTTAACCATGCCCTGGATGTAGGAAGGGCCTGATCCCTTCACAGCAAGGTAGGCCAGAGTATTGGAGGGAGTTAGGAAGCAACTGGTAACTAGTGAGGGAGCAGAGAAGAGCGGTGGTGTGGGATTTACATTTTAGTTTGTGTACGGATTATATAAACCAGATACCATAACATGTTTTTTAAGTGAGCTCTAGAGATGCTAGTGGGCAAATAATCATATAATCAATAATCATAATCAAGCAAAGTACCATTTTGTCATACTGACTTTACGCTAGGGCTGTGCATCTTCACTGGTCTCACGATTCGATTATCCTGTCAACGATTCGATTCAATTCGATATCCCGATGCATCACGATTCATACCAATGCGTTGCATCCTCAATTTTCTATATTACTGCACATGGCTTATTTTTCATCAATGCATACATGCAGTAAATACATATGAACTCTCTTTTTATTATTTAGAAAGTGCTTCAGAAATCAACAACATAAATGTCTTGACATTCATTTATAAACCAAAATAAATGAATTGTATAGGTCTAGCCTCCCTATATCTGTGTGTGAAGTTGTTCCATCCTCAAAAACAAAAAAATAATGCTTCTGCAGTCTAGCTGCAGCTTCTAGCAACGGTCTTCTGTTAAAGAAAGGACACTGAATGTCCTGAATGTGGCATCACACACAGGACTTGAGTCTGAACACAGCAGACAACAGGAGTATTTACAACAGCATATACAAACAAAAATACTGCATGTGGGTGCACACTTACATTCTCTGTCTTACTGTTACTTAAATCCCATGAATGTATGAGATTAAGTTAGCTTCATTATATCTCAGTGATTAAGTGAATAATAAAGTTTCTATCGGGTCACTATCAGCCTGTCACTCATTATTTTCAGGAGGGGGCGGGGTTTGGAGGAACGGAGAGGAGACGGTGATCGCGGAAGCTTTTTTCCTCCTGCCTTCACAAACTTTACACACGTATATATCGTCTGAAAATTGCTAGAGGACATTCATACTTTGCAATCCAAGACTTAATTAAATCCACCAAAAACCTGACATGATTGTAACGCGATTATTTTTGAAAAACATAAATCCCTGTGTCTCTGAGCCGCAGCGACACGGAGTGATTCAGAGCGGGTCCTTCTGCTGTTGGTTCTGGACTGGTGTTCTTGTGTTGGTGGATAAAGCAGACTGCTCCGTGTTTGGTGTTGCTGTGCCGCTGTCACGTTCCCTGATCTCTGCGTCACCGACCGATTTGATATTAAAGTGACAGAAGAAAAAAAACGTTCTAGTAAAGCCGCGGCCGGAAAATCAGGAAGCAACGTTACTACGCTATAACCGATTATCTTCCGTCACTGCATCGAGACCGAATCGTCCACGTCCGCATCGCATCGTAGAAACGATTATTTTCAACACCCCTACTTTACGCTAAGCTCAATATCTTCTGGCAATCCTCTGACTACAACCAGAGCTAAAACAGGGACATGCTAAAATAATAAAACTGGCCATCACAGTTTCAAACATCTCTACGATCAACACTTTTTCAGAATGACTAATGTTCTAGTTTCAGAAGAAGCAAGGAAACGTACAGAGCGTGGTTATCCTCTCCACTGCCAAATGTGTTAATGAGTGGGCCTATTGGCCGACCACACACACACACACACACACACACACACACACACACACACACACACACACACACACACACACACACACACACCCACACACACACACACACACACACACAACCACACACACACACACACACACACACACACACACACACACACACACACACACACACACACACACACACACACACACACACACACACACACACACAAACACACACAACACACACCACACACACACACACACACACACACACACAGCTTGTGCCAGACCGGATGGCACTATAAGTGTGCCTGCCAAGTGCTAACAGCTCTCCCAGAGATGCCTCTCACACAGACAACAGAGGCATAGTGCACACACCACATTCAAAAGCTCACCATACCGACACATTCAAACACATGCAGGCACACATTTCTCACATAAAATAACAAGTAGAATATAACTGTCTCAATTTGCGTACTTCTGTAACTATATTTGCCTTTTTAGGTGCATAAGTACATCTCAATGAGAATAATTGCACTATGAGTACCCAGATGGTGCCCTCGTGATGATAAACAAAAAAAACAGCCGTGATTGCTGTTGCGCGGTGAAGACAACACTGAACAAATAAAAGTTATACATGTGTTTTTTTTCAGTATTTAATATAGTGTATGAAGCAATATAGCACTTGCTTTCATTACAAAAATGCCCTGATCTGGGCTGTCGTATAGCTCAGTGGGTAGATTTACTGGGGCCAAAGCCGTTTGACCTACCCTCTGTCTCCCCCTATCATAGCTGTCACTCAAATAAAGGCACTGGTTGCCCAGACGTTGATTAAGCTATAAAAAAACAGTGATATGCTGATTTACAGACATTTCTTTCCCAGTGTAAGTCAATATTTTTGGGCCTAAATGACTGACACATGAGTTGTAGTACTATCGTTTGGCCACTAAGAGAATTTGCTTCAAAATCCGGCTCACTTCCTGAGGGTTTGAAGACAAGGACATTCCCACACTGAGCAAGAGTTCACAGTGTACAACATATAGTGTGCTAAAGGAAGAGTCCCAATAGAGACTTTGTATATAAGGTTATATGCGCACAAACCTCAAATTTCTGCCGTAGCTCCTCGTTGCCCTCCTCCCCTTCTGGAGCGACGGGAACATTGAAGTACTCGCCTTCTTCCTGGGAGAGCAGCTTAAACCTGGAGAGAGAAAGAGAGAATATTTCCAGTCAAATCAATTCCCAATTAGTTTATACAATTTAAGCGTTTAACTGCTTCCATTAGCCGAAGCTGCTGACTGTTAGCGCAGTCCTCAAGAATAATCAGATGATTATTTAGTAATTCACTCTCCTTCATGGTGATCCAGCAAAGCCAGACAGAGACGGGGGAAAACACAGCCGAGATGCTTATCATTTAACAAAATCATTAGGAGATAATTTCTCACATTGGGCTCATTATGACTGATGCTATAAGCTCTTACCTCACAGCATCACCCATACATTCATATAGTTAATAACATTGTTCTGGGTGTTTACGATTTCGCGACACAGATATCAACTTTTAATATTGCTTTTCTTCCTCTCAGTAAGTGTGGCTCTGTTGGTTATCAGCATTAGTTTTATTCTTTTTAGTTATAGCAGAGTTTGATGGTAAATATGAATCGCCTTATGATAGAGAAGTTTCGTCAAAAAACGTAAGCAGTTTTAATTAGTTTTATGTGGCTTCTGTCAACAATTCTCTGATTCTCTGATTCCGTGGCCGAGACCCTCATTCATGCATTCGTCTCCTCCCGGTTGGATTACTGCAACGGAGTCCTGTTCGGGGTTCCCAGTAAAGCCCTGGACAGGCTCCAGTATGTGCAGAACTCGGCTGCCAGGGTGCTCACTCACACCAAGCCCTGGCAGCACATCACCCCCACCCTGATCCACCTACACTGGCTCCCAGTCAAGCACCGTATCACCTTGGGTTTCCTGAAAGGCGCTATAAAAATATTATTTATTATTATTATTATTATTTAACAATCCCACAACCTGAGTTAGAACTTAACAACCTGTTTTAATCAGGCATTTTTACTGCAAGTTACATATGTTACTTACTAGACAAAAAAAGCCTGTTTCCACAATGAACATCTAAGTCTAATCGACCAGTTTTGTCCTGAGATTTAGCTTTGAGGAATATATCCAGCAACCTGTTCTGGTCTGATGGATATCTGCTTATTCACTTGTTACATGACATGTATTACTTTGCATTTATACAATTTTCTGCTTATTACTTAACATTTTGACTCTCTGCACACAGCACTAAGATCAGATCGCATACTTTGTACTGGTGGGTGTCTTGTGCACTCATCCTTGGCTGAGATTGATATTGAAAGTGGATGACATTGTTGATGATATTGGTGATGTTGTTAATGTTGTTAATGATGTCAGGACTTATGTCTTGAATGTTGTTGTGTTATTGTTGTATTGTTTTAAAGGTGGGGTAGGTAAGTTTCAGAAACCGGCTCGAGTGCACTAAAATTTGAAAGTACACAGCCGAAAAGAATCCGCCCCTTTCTTCAGACTTCCTTACAGAGCACCTCCTCCAACACACATGAACGCGCACATGACGTCAGCAGACTGGTGAAAGTGGCCGCCTGTTGCTGGCGAGTCATTGAAGTACTGCTGCAATGCACGCCCAATGACGGCACGCCCAATGACGGCACGAGATACATTTGTGCGTGCACGAGATGGAAGGCTTTTTACAGTACCACGGCTTCCACAGATGACATTTTTTTATGGATTTTTTGTCAAAGCACTTAAGATATTCATTGCTATCGGATGTTAAGAGCATTCCATGGAATATAACAAAAAGTGTATCTCGAGCCGGTTTCTGAAACTTACCTACCACACCTTTAAGTGTCGGATCCCAGGAAGAGTAGCTTTTGTCAAGAGCAAAAGCTACTGGGGATCCTTAATAAACATAAACATAGATCGGTGCTTGAAGAGGTTAAATCTCATAACACCTACTTATTTTACTTCAAATAATATTTTAATCTTTCAGTCTTAGGCACTACTTTCATGAACCCTGTGGTGTGGCACGACCCACAGTCAAGTGCGCCCTGCACAGTGAATTGGGGTTGTGCCAATCGGCTTTTGGTAGTTTCCCCATCGGGCTCTCGGATATGGGATACGACCAGAAGACATGTAATATCACATAGGTGTGTTTAGAGGCTTTGCGAATCATAGCATGCAATATTTGAATATCCTTTAATCACAGGGATATCTACCACTGGTACGTTGGGAATCATGTCGAGAGCTTTCGTCAGGGTAAACATATACAAACACAGCTCATCAACTCAAATGTACAGCAAAGAGCCGTCGGTAGCTATGTGATCTATTGTTAATGTAAACATTTGAATTAAAGCCACTTCTCTTGTGCCGTGGAAACATCTAAAAGGAATGAAAGACGACCAAACACTGCCTACAGGTTGCAGCTTTTTCAACAATAAATCCGCTCCTGGCTGTTAAGGATGCATGACTTTGTTCTGTTTGGATAGTTATGGAGTTACTGGGTTTATGTGAGATATTTCACCTAATCAGAAAACAACATGGTACAACTTAGAATGATCAAATCAGATGGACATGTGTGTCATAAGCTTGACTCTTTATATTATTTGAAATGCTTTCCATAGAGGGCAATAACAAAGAAACACAGGAGCCTCATCTGTTCATGTGACTCTTTCCTACAGTATGACTTCTCGTGAGGCTTTGGAGCTTTACTTAGATGGAGTACTAGAAAAATTACTCACTTGCATGGATTCTCTTTACTCTCAATATCAAGTTTTTAATGGCATCCCTCCACCTCCACCTCAACGCTGGCATCTCATTAAAAACCCTGACAGAGCGGCGTCAGCAGAACGAGAGGAGGAGAGGGAGAGATAGAGTCTGAGCGAGAGAGGGAGAGATAAAGAAGCGGAGATAAAGAGACAGGGCAGAGACGCGTTGGCACTGAGTTTCACCAGAATAAAAAGAAAGAGCTCCAACTAAAGTATTTCTCCAACAGTGCAGTAATGAACAAGGTCACCTTCACTCTCCCTCCTCCTCTACCTGAGCTGTTTCCCTGCCTCTCATCTCTCCACACCCCCCCCCCACCCCCCTATCTGTCCATCCTTTCATCTCACCATCCATCCACTCCTTGTTTCTGGAGCTCCGAGATGCCGAATGACAGCGATCCCATGAAGTCGTTGCGGCTGGTCATGTCCCAGTCCCAGATCTCCACCGACAGACGCCGGTCCTTATCGTACTCCTTCAGGTGGCTGCGGGAGAAACAAGGACAATCAACAGTTGGAGGAAGGCTGAGAGTAATGGGTTTCTAATATATATTTGTTGTGTTTAATCATTTGAATTTCAACAGTCAAAGGATAAGGATGTAAAAAACAACAGAACAAAAAAAGACTCGGAAGCAGTGGCCACAACTTTGTGCATTTACAAAAGGGTACGATACAATACTATCAAAAGGATAGGATTCGATATAATATATTGCATCACAGCAGCACACTTTGCAACATCAACAGGAACAAATACTATACAGAAAGAGACATTTAAGATAATATTACGATGACTAAAGACAATATGTAAAAGACTCTCTAACCTACAGTAGGGGTTTCACCAACTAATCGACTAGTCGACTACCTTTACCACTAGTCGGCGCTGTAGGCCCTAGTCGACTAGTCGTGTGAAAAATGGAGGTAAACGAGGTGCTGCAAAATGCTCCAAAACACGTCCGACATTCTTATGTATGGCAGTACTTCAACAAAGATGTAACCAACTCCACAGTGAAGTGTCAGTTGTGCAACAAAAATACATCTGCTATGCGCAACCATCTGAAGATGAGACACCCGCTGCCGACAGATAGCACTAGCAGTAATGCTAGCACCAGTGAGCAACGGACCGGCGTCAGCACAGGACAGAGGCAGACGAGCAGCAAGAAACCGGGTCTACAGTGATGCGGATGATGCGCTACGGGTTTACTGCCAGCGGACACCGCATATCCCCACTATCGATAACCCACTGGAGTGGTGGGCAGAAAACGTGCACCGCGTCCCTCGTTTAGCCAAGCTTTCGAGGAGCTACCTGGCTATTCCAGCCACAGGCACCCCGAGCGAGGGTTTTTTCCCTGGCAGGCAACACTGTCACACGAAAGCGGTCAAGCCTCCTTCCCTCACATGTCGATGCGTTGGTGTTTCTCAACGCAAACCAAAAACCTGGAAAGGTGGACGTTATCGTGGAGGACAGCGAGTAAAGTGTTGCGCAATGCGCTGTTGCGCACTGGATTTACGTGGCATTTCAGTAAACAGAGTTTTTTGCTGTCGATTTTGGTGAGTCCAGTTACTGTTTGTTATTTACTAAGTCCAGTTACTGTTTGTTATTTACTAAGTCCAGTTACTGTCTGTTATTTACTAAGTCCAGTTACTGTTTGTTATTTACTAAGTCCAGTTACTGTTTGTTATTTACTAAGTCCAGTTACTGTTTGTTATTTACTAAGTCCAGTTACTGTTTGTTATTTACTAAGTCCAGTTACTGTTTGTTATTTACTAAGTCCAGTTACTGTTTGTTATTTACTAAGTCCAGTTACTGTTTGTTATTTACTAAGTCCAGTTACTCTTTGTTATTTACTCAGCCATGTAACACAAATTAAAATGCAGTGTTTAATGTAACTATGAGTTCCAATATAAAATACAGTTGTACACCTCTGTGTGTCTTTATTATGACGTAACGACTAGTCGACTACTATTTTGAAAAACGCGTCGACTAGTAAATGGTAGTTGTGAAACCCCTAACCTACAGTACATTTGACTTGGGATTCAACCCTAAATGTATTTCATTTGAGGATTGCCTGCTGCACAAAGACTGCTTCAGTCTAGCCTTATTTAAATGGTAGGTTTCTGTATCTCCGATATGATGGTCACAACTCATATTCACTTGAGAACATTAGAGCAGTCTTGAATTAATCTTTCCCGTTATAACAATGTCCCTGAAATGTGCCTAATGCATAATTCTGTGGTAAGTTGAGCCTCTGTGTAACATTCAGCTAAACCGTCAGATCTTGTTTTACTTTGTTGGATAGATGCAAAAAAACCACCTTTCAAATGGAACATCTGCACCCACATGCCATGCAAATGCAAATCCCAGTCTCCCTCCATGCAAACTGTGATGAAGCTGATTAAGAATGTAATTGGAGCCAAGTGCAGGAAACCACCCCAAAAGCAAGGTTTTATGATTATAATATGCCAGATGTTTTTATCTGAGCGCCAGCGGTTACACATGCTTGGAAATAAGACGAGCATAATGTGATGCTTTTAAAAAAAGAAAACTGCACTGGGTGAGAGAGAGAGATGGAAGAGAGGAAACTGAGATTAAATTATTAAAGGAAGGAGAGCCGAGAAAAAAGGCAGAGACAGACAGACGGATAAATAAAATAAGAAAGCAGCAAACATGGTGTTTTGAAGCCTTACAATTTAAAGGTCTCATTCCAGGTGGGGTTCAGGCAGCACTTTATGGTCTTGGTCTTCTGTTTACTCTCGCTGCGGGGGTCTGGGATCAGTTTAAGCTTCACGTAGGGGTCTGACAGCCCGTTGGGGTCCATAGGAACCAGATTCCTGCCCTCTTTGACTGGAGGCAAGACAACAGGATATACAGAGGGGTGGGGAGAGAAAAGGGAGGGAAAAGGTGAGAGGAGACATTTGCATTAAAACAAAAAGGAATCTCAGATCATCAATTGGATTTTACATACAGTAAGCAAGAGTTGTTTTGTTTATTTTGACTTTTTTAAGCATCTTTGAGCTTATTATTATTATTGTATATATTTTTTTTTTATAGATAACCAATTAAAAAGTCCCTTCCATTAAAATGAAAAAAGGGGGAAAAATCATAATTCTATAACGTTATACTTTTAGACTGAGATGAACATAAACACCAGAAAAAGGTATTCATTGCTTGTGTAACCGAAAATAAAGACCACCTTCAACGTAATTAAAATAATAAAACATAACATTTTAAAACGTTTCCCAACATTATTTCTGTAGACGTCATTTACCGTACACTTTTTTATTTTTCAGGGAACACTTAACCTTATACACACATTGCTGCCTTTCCAGACCTCATACTCTGAAACTTGTTGACAACAATACTTGATATGCAGGACTCTCCCCTCCATTTAGAAAGACCAATTTTCTTAAAAGGTTTAAGGGGAGTAATATTACGATTAATCCTCCCTCATGTCTTTTTTATTTTCCACTCTCTTGCATGAATGGAAACAGCAGGCGCGTTCAAATGTGTTCATATGACCTTAAACAATAGAGCCATTAAAGTAGGATATATTTCATTTATTTAGAGTCCAATAGTAATTTATCAAAATGAATTTCAACCCATATTAAGGAGGTTGGTTAATGTTAATTTCAGGCCTTGCGTGTTGTATGTGCATTTTAAGGGTGGTTCTTTTTGAAAGCTCCCCCTTATACCAACTAATTAAATTAGGCATGGTAAACTCACACACATACACACAAACCCCAAGAGTTGTATTTGGGGTTAAAGCTTTAAGGTTGCCACATTTCTCTGTAATGACCATGTAGTAAAAAGGAAGGATGCCAGTCCCAACACTAATCCTTCTTTAGAGGCCGTCTGTAATTGTATTCCAGTGGAGTAAAATCCCCTAAGATTGTGTGTGTGTGTGTACAATTATTGTTGCTGGTCAAGTTGGGGGTCACATCCAATTACCAGAAGCAGGGGTGGTGCTGCTGTGTGACACACACACACACACACACACACACACACACACACACACCACACACACACACACACACACACACACACACACACACACACACACACACACACACACACACACACACACACACACACACACACACACACACACCACACACACACACACACACACACACACACACACACACACACACACACACACACACACACACACACACACACACACACACACACACACACACACACACACACACACACACAAAGGGGAAATAGTCCCATCCTGTCAAAAATAAAGATCTAAGAACAGTTTTGTGTCAGTTTTTCCTTCCTTGAAAACTCAAATCGGGCATCTTGTAAGTAGAAGTTTGACTCATAGTAAAAAACCAACTCACCGGTTCAAGTTGGGGCCTCTCGTCTCCACACACCAGCTCCCCGTCAAAGGGGTGACATTAATTATTCGTGACCTTTTAAGAACTCAGCCTAGTGCCCAAAGATCCCTCTCTACAAACGTGGAAACCTAAAACTACGTCTCCTGGTATCGTGATTTACTGGGTTACACTTAGAATATGGTCACACAAAATGGAAAACAAATGTGCATTTTAGCACTTTGTTTTGGAGTTCACACTTCTTACTCAAAGACGTTTAAATATTAAGCAACATGGACTGTCTGACATGTTACTATTTATTGGACGATTTGAATAATTGTAGGCCCTTGGTGAGATCCCATTGGGCTGTGTCCATACTTCACTCTAATTAGCTAGCACCAGGGTCTTACTCCTGTACGTCAGATGCCAAATGATCTGTATCAGCTCTGATCCTGCGCGGCTGCCAATGTGAGTTGCCTGGCACCATTTTTTGTTATCCAGTGTCATCATACTACTTCTGTCTATTTCTGGTCAATTTCAAATAGAGTCTGTCTGTTTCGCAAATTGTTTGTTGAAGATCATTTGAGATATTTGAGTTTGGTTTTGCTGCACTAGACCCGTTTATTACGCATCTTCTCAAGTAATCTGGAAACATTTAGGTGTAAGAGTGAAAGTAGACAAGACTACAAGTGGACTTAATTTCAGAGATGACAAAGAGGGATTTCATGACCGAAAGAACAAGATCGCGGATACAAGCGGCCGAGATGGGTTTTCTCCACAGGGTGGCTGGTGTCTCCCTTAGGGATAAGGTGAGAAGTTCGGTCATCCGGGAGGGACTCGGAGTTGAGCCGCTCCTCCGTCGCGTCGAAAGGAGCCAGTTGAGGTGGTTCGGGCACCTAGTTAGGATGCCACCTGGGCGCCTCCCTAGGGAGGTGTTCCAGGCACGTCCAGCTGGGAAGAGACCAAGGGGTAGACCTAGGACCAGGTGGAGGGATTATATCTCTTCGCTGGCCTGGGAGCGCCTTGGGATCCCCCAGTCAGAGCTGGTTGATGAGGGCAAAGAAAGTTTGGGGCTCTCTGCTGGAACTTCTACCCCCGCGACCCGACCACGGATAAGCGGGAGAAGATGGATGGATGGATGGACAAAGAGGGATGTCTTAACATAGAGGAAATGGACTTTAATTAACAGTAAAATTATAGGGGGAACTGTCACATAATACTACTCCATAAAATACTTCAACACAATGCAGGTCCTTTTTGTAACGTCACTGCAGAAGAATTGCACCTGAGTTCCCATGCAAGTGATACGTTTCCGACTGATTGAGATATAGGTACAAAAAGAAGTACCTCTTTTGCAAAACATGTTTTTTTTACAATTGAGATGCAGAGCTGTCAAAGCGGGATCCTTTCAAACCATGACTGAAGGGGATAGCTCGCGGTGTGAGAAAAAAAATCTTCAAGAAGTCAGAGAAATGGAGTTTCATGCCGGTAAAGCGCCATGATACGCTAAACTCTGAGAGGTTAACCACAGTACGGGCCCAACGGCCAGCATTAAACCCTCAGCGGAGCGGGTCAATAAATATTAGATGATGCCTGTTAAAGTGACCATCAAATGCTGGTTGAGGTGAGCTATAAAGAGGGTAGCATGCCAAATGGTCTCAAAGGACACTTACAGTAAATACAAGAGGGTGTGTGTTAGTGTGAGTGAGAGAATGATTCTACTTGTGCATGTACATGTGTGCAATCTACATGTGACGAATGAAAATCTTGCTCTTATACATATGTGCTAATTGCAGAGAGCATGTATGGGTAAAGATGTGTGTGTGTGTGTGTGTGTGTGTGTATGCGGGAGATAACGCATGTATTTGAGGCTGCAGGGAGTGAGGAGATGAGAGTGCAGTAACAGCAGAATACTGTATGTGCACAGCAGCGTGGGCGTGGGCAGAGCACCTTTTCCCATGTGAAACAGCCTCAGCACAGTCTTAGTGAGAGTCTTCTTTCCAACTGCTACTTGCTTTTATATGTGCTGCAAGATGTGTGACGATTTCCCAGATTGTTCATAGACATGTTGAAATTAAAGTGTTTGTAGGTGCAGTGTGAATCCTGTTGATCTTTTTATCAGAATAAATGCATTAAACTACAGCTGCATCATGGCTTAGAGAGCCTGGTGCTACCATGCTGTAACACGGTGAAGCAATTACTAGCTGGCTTTGAATCATTTGATCATTTCATTTGAGCAAAAAGTCAAGAATCAAAACCAATATTAGGATCAGAAGCCTTATCATGACTAATTGGTAGAGCAAATGTCTCTGAGCCTGACATTAGGCTTGGATATAGATGTTTGAGTACACTGCTCTCACCTTCCTTGCTCGCTTTGAATATAAGGCTGAGGTGTGAGGTGTGAGATCGGTCGTTCAAACAAAACAAAAAAGGCTTAGGTACACATAAGGCAATCATTTAGGCCAAATTAAGAGTTCAAACCCCTAATGGGGCTACCCAGCAATGACAGCAAGACACTAATGGCGCATTTCCACTACAGCGGTTTAAGCGTGCCGGGCCGGTTTTTGGTTTGCGTTTCCACTAGGCGTAGTTCCGGCTAGCGGGTACTTTTTCACAGTTTTCTGGCTCTCCAAAATCGAGGTTCTTTCCGGGCCAACAACCGGGCTGAGTATGCTAAACTAGTGAGAGAATCGCTGGCAACTACAACAAAATGAACATATTTTACCGTGATTTAATTGTAATACACGTTTCAAAATGATGCCGAAGTAACAACGTACTGATACCGGTTAATAAAAACCATGAATTAATGCTTTGACAAGTCTGCAGACAGACGGCAGGCGAAAAACCTTTTAAAATGCGTGTTTTCTGAATGGAGATCTAAGCTAACGCAGTATATGCTCCGGCCGTCCACACTCACAACAACGGCCTATACAGACATAAATAAACCAGCGACTGTATTCTCCATGACACAGGCAGTCTGTGGTTTGTACTTGTTTAACTTTTGTCTAGTTTCTGAACAGATATGAGGAGCTGTGAGCTTGAGTGCTAACAGCTAACGGCTGATGTTGGTTTTGTGTTTCGCATTGACACTGCGCCTACACTGCGTTACTATAGTTACTACCCCAGTACCTAAACTGTAATGGAAACGCAGCATAAAGTGAGCCTGGCTCACCAAGGCCTAACTATACCGTACTAAGCCGTGCGAGGCCCTACAGTGGAAATGCGCCATAAGTATTCACAAATGTTTCACTTGAGGACTTTTGGCCGTCTAAACACCTAATGATGGTTATTTTGTATATGTTTAGGGTCTTTTTGGAGGGTTGATATGTTTTATGAAGACTGTGCTAATTTTCAGGTTCATATTTGTATGTTGTGTCTCTACTGTGACATGTTTAAATGCTTTAATGTTCAAAAAGCTCTTTATTGTTCTCATACTGCCTGTGCTCTTTTCACCCTCTGTCTGAAACCAGAGCCCAGTCTGCTCTGATTGGTTAGCTGGCCGGCTCTGTTGTGATTGGTCAA